ATAAAATGTACATGTTTCTAGCAAGATTAATAATAATATAATAATAATAATAATTTCTCAGGTTGATAGATTTTGGCCTAAGCAAGGATATAGAACCACTGTTCAAACACTAAAAAGCTTTAATCAAGACGAAGAAGAATACAGCAGCATGGATCATGGGAGAAGCCTGGAATTTGACATAAAGGAGCCAGTAGTACGGGAAATCAAGGGGGGGGGGTGGGGGGGGTTGGGAATCACCACCTAAAGCTTGGTCTACAAACATCTTTGAATGAAATAACTTCTTTAAATTACTACGCAATGGACTAAAACTAGCAGGGGGGAGAGGGGGGGGGGGGGGAACATCCACTACAAACTGCGTCTACAAAATCTATTTGAATTGAAATAACTTCTTAAATTACTAGAATGGACTAAGACTAGCAATTAAAAAAATCCAGTTCAAATACCTACTGAAAATTAGCAAACAATAACATTGGTGAAAAATGTTTTTTCTCGCGGAAAAACATATTCTAGAAAAGTTTTCGCCGATAAAAAAAGTAGCATAAACCATTACAGGTAAGGATGATCAACAAAATCACATGAGACTATTTTCTTAAAGTTGGTCCCACAGATTAAATATTCAGAATTTCAAAGGGCAGTTATGCTTGAAGAACGAGAACTCAGTTTGAGCACCTGGTGTCGGAATTACATATAAGGTTGAAGGTGTGGACAAGAAACTTTTGTCCTAGAAACATCTCATTAAGACAGATGTGAATTGGAGATTTAAGGTCAGATAAGATCTATGTTCATGGGTCTTAGGAAAAGCATCTGGTGGAGGTATGTTTCTACAGCATCAGTATCAACAAATTCCCCGAAGCTCCAGGACACACAACCTCATTTTAAATATTCTTTTTCTTAATGCTTTTCCTAGGGGTAAAATGGTGTGTTTCTATGCAACAAAAAAAAATTAAAGCAAGTAGCACTACTTCATTTTTGAAGAAATCATGTTGCCAAAAGTTAACATAATAAGATGGCAGTTTGTAAGATTATATAGTAGTTTAAAAATACAACATATTGATTTCTTCATGGCATGTCCAACTAGACATGTGGACCATATCCCCTATATCTTACCAAGTTGAAGGTGCCCCAATAAGGGAGGTTTGATTCGTTCCTTAATTTGACTGTGTTTTTTCTTGTATGCATTAATACCTTTTTGGGGTTGCTCTAATTTTCTTTGATCAACGGAAATGTTTTAAATATAATTCTCGTTAAGCAAAAAAAAAACTGAGACTGTACAGGCAAAAGCAAGTTTGCAATCGAGATTGCACAGTTGCGTGCTCAGTTCAGAAGTTGCTGAACCACAAATGTAGCACTTAGGCAAGGTGAACTATTTCCCGAAAGCTCTTGTGTGCAGTGTTGCTCAGTCATTAATTCTGGCTTGTAGGCGACAGGATGGTAGAGGAAAGTCGAGGAGTCAAACACGAAAGAATTCCCCACACCACTCTACGGGACCTTCATTCTCAAGGATAAGAGAAAACACCTCCCTTCAGGTGTACCAAGTTTTTTTGAAGCCCCTTTGTCTGTTCCAGGTATTATGAGACACTCGTCAATATGAATCAAATAATTTAGCCACGCAAAGAGATGAAAATAGAAAACTAAAGTTAGAGCATATGCCACGCACAAGCACCAAAAAGAATACCAACCAACCAAACCTAAGCCTTAAGTCCACTCAAAGAGGTCGGTTACATGAATCATTCTTCTTCCATCGGCCCTATCAAAGCCATTTCATTAGTCAAATTAAGTACGATTGCATATTCTCTATTTAAAAGTCTAGTCAACGTTAATCTAGGCCTACCCCGTCCCCTAACATTCCATCTGACGCGTCATACAGTATGCATCTCTTCACTACTGCTCTGTTGGTCTCCCGTTGATAATGACCAAACCATCCCAAACGATTTCTCTTCAACTTATCTTCTATTCGGGCTACTCCTACCCATTCCCGAATTAACACTTAGTTCCATATCTGTTCTTGTCTAGTTCTTACACACATCCACCTTAGCATCCTCATCTCCAGCCACACTTCATGGCTTATCTTAATGTTGTTTCCTTGAATTGCCCAACACTGCGTCCATACAACATAGCTGGTCTAATCAGCTGTTCCTAATAAACTACCTTTTAGTACTGTGAGGATTCGTTTATGCACAATACCCCAGACGCACTTGCTCCACTTACACAATCCCGCCTTAATCCTATGGGCCACATCTGCATCATCTCTTCCCGCTGTTTGTATAATCGACCCTTAAATAACGAAAATGTTCACTCTTAGACCAATTCTTGGTTCTCAAATTCTTCACTTCTCCTCTGCTTCATTGTTATCCCGTTACTAAAATTACACTCATGTTATTCTGTCTTAAGTTCGCTTATTCCGGAATCCTTTAGATCAAAGAATTTTCTCAAATCTCTAACTTTGTGTTAACTCCTTCCTCTAGTCTCATCACTAGCACAATATCGTCTTGCAAAAGCATGCACCATGGCACGTCATCCTGAATAGTTTTTTCGTGCAAGCTCGTCCACAACTAAAGCAAAAGATAAGAATTTCTCATGGCATCCTAACCAGGAAAAAAAAAAAAGAAACAGAAAAACTCACTTTACAGTTAAGGTTGTAAAAGTATTTCACTAGTGTAATTTGATAGATCATTTAAACTGTACATGATTCCCATATATTAATATGGTGATTATGATACTGATATTTTCTAAACAATCATAATTGCCAAGAAAGGGGGTGGAACCAAATTATCAAGTTCAGATGTGATGAAGGCAAATAAGTTTATGGCTTCCATTGGGTGCAGAGAAGATGGACACGGTTGTAATACATAAGAAGGAATGAATAATATACCCAAAAAAAAAGAAAAAAAAAAAACTTGTACACCATGTTAGACTAATAAAACAAATTCAAAAATGATTGAGAGTGCCTACAGTAAAGACAGATTAAAGGTTGACGGAGCTTATAATGAAATTTCAACGCGCACACAGGGCAGCCATTAGACATATACTTCTGATAGCAAAGGTGAACCATTCTAACATTAACCACAAATCAAATACCTTTACATCAAACCTAGTGGCCCCTTTTAATGGTTCAAAGTGTGGGTTGGGCGTGTGTGGGCGTGTGCATATGTCAAAGGATGTGTTGGTTATTGGTTTTCAACAGTAGAAACGTTATTTCAAATAACGTTTTCAAAAAAAAAAATTATATACACAGTAAAAGCGCTATTTCAAATAGCGTTTTCTTTAGAAAAAAAAATTTATATTAAAAGTGCGATTTAAAGCAGCGATTTATTAATTAAAAGCGCATTTTACAATAGCGCTTTCACTATTCATCAAATTTTGGGCTCCAAACAGTGAAAACGCGATTTGTAATAGTACTTTAACTTAGTTTGGGAATTCCGTTCAAACTAGACCTAGTTTGGGAAATAAAATGCAAAAGAGGCTTAGTTTGGGATAAGCCCCCATAAAATTGCCGTCAAAAGTTCTCAAATCCTAAAATTATGAAATCCGAATTTTTCTACCCACCCAACTCTCCCCACCAATTGCCACCCTTTTTTGCGCCCGATTGCCACATCCTGATCCTCCTTTTATTCTTCGATGTGAAACTCTATCTACTGATGAATGACTAGGGCTGTCACAACAATAGGAGGTTGTGTTGCAATGGTGGTCGGGACATAGTGGTGCGAGACAGTGGGGTGGTGGGTGTAGCAATTGAAAGTGAGGTGAGGTGGGGTGGGGTGGGGTGGGGTGTTAGGGTTTGAAATGTCAAGCATGTAAAGAGATGATGGGAAGTTAGGGATGATTATATATTTAAAATTATGGAGGATGTAATGAGATAAAATAAAATAATTTAAATATTAAAAAGAGGTGTAAGGCCTATTGATTCCAAAAAAAACATATGGGTGAATTACATTAATAGTTTTTATAGTTTAGAGTTTGTATCACTTTGTTCTTAACTTTTCAATTGTGACACATTTGATCTTGAATTTTGAATCTTATTCCAAATAATTTAAATTTTAAAAAGAGGTGTCAGGCCTATTGATTCCAAAAAGAAGTATGGGTGAATTACACTAATAGTCCTTATAGTTTGGGACTTGTATCACTTTGGTTCCAGAGTTTTCAATTGTGACACATTTGATCCTGAATTTTGAATCTTGTTCCAAATAAAGACAATTGAAAATATCATTAGATTTTTCAAGGATAAAATTGTCAATTTGATTAAATATAAATTAATTTGACAAAAATAAATGTCAAATAAATATTTTTGAATTTTTAAAAATTATTTCTACCCATTAAAAATAAAATTATGTAAAATTGATAAATCTTTTAGACATTTATTTATTTTTTTACCAAATTAATTTTTATTATGTGTTTGGATAATGATCATGTAAAATTAATTTTAAAAAATTAATCATGTAATTTTTATTAATTCTTATCAATTTTACATAATTTTATCATTGGTAGGTAAAAATATTTTTTTGACATTTATTTTTGTCAAATTGGTTTATATTTTATTAAATTGATGATTTTGCCCTTAAAATTAAACAATATTATCTTCAATTATCCTTATTTGGAACAAGATTCAAAATTCAGAGTCAAATATATTACAATTGAAAAGTCATGAATTAAAGTGACATGAGTCTCAAACTATAGGAACAGTTAGTGTAATTTGCCCAAGAAGTATATATATATCACCAACGTTCCTTAAAATCTAATTAATACTAAAAAGTTAAAACTTGCATATTCATTTTATATGTTAGTGTTTGAATACGTGCATTGCACATGAACTGATTTTAAGATTTTTTTTGATTTTTTTTTTTTTGGCTACTTTTCAGAATGAGCAGACTCTACACGAAACATAGTAAATGGCCAAAAAACCATGTTAACGACTAAGAAACAAGTTCTTGTAGACAATACAATGGTGACAACATTTGATATTATTTTATATATTTTCACACGATTTCATATGTTTTTATTCATTTTTTTTTGTATATTTTAATATACTTTTTACACACCGACATTAAAAAGAAAATGTTTTCATAGTTAAACATAACCCAAAACTAATTGCAGGTTTGTTCATGAAAGAGAGGCAATTTTGGCAGCTACGTCATGTGCTACCTCAACTACCTTCCTTGAAGACTTCGAAATACGTACATAATCAAAACTTGTTACAAAGCAACTTATTAATATCTAATAACAGGTGCATCACCCCCCAATCTTCCATCTCCTCCTTGAGCTTGTTGATTAGCACTTGACAGTCCGTATAAATAGTAATAGCCTTAACACACCATTGTAGAACTTCAGAACATGCTTTTGCTTCAGCCATGAGTGCAGAAAGGGCCACAAAAGAGTATTGCACACAGTTTTCCTTTTGTTTTGTTAACTAAAAATAAAAGAAAACAGTCCCCTTAGGAACTCCTCTCCTCTTCTCTCCTCTCCACTTTGCATGCCAAATACATTAAATCCTCGGCTCAATGCAAACAATCGGGTGAAGATAGTAGCACAGAGATTCAAGGGTAACTTCCCTTGCATGGCCTACTTTATTTTATTTTATGCTTTTGGAGACTAGATGTGTTTTACAACATATGCAGGCAATCTGCGATAATAAATGAATAAATACCCGAAATCCCAAACTAAATAAAATGGATTTCAACCTCTGATAAGCATAATAGGCTGTTAAATGCTGTGCAAATCCAAATCCCGATAATAATGCCATTTTTTGTATCTCTGATGTCCTCCTGGTGGTAGCACAGGTCTACGCCGACTGGCATATGTGCATCTTAAACAACAGCACCCTCTAAAATCTTTCACACAACCTGTACAGCATCTGAAAATTGACAATAAAATGTACATGTTTCAGCAAGATTAAATAATAATAATAATAATAATAATAATTTCTAGTTTGATAGATTTTGCCTAAGCAAGGATATAGAACCCACTGTTCAAACTAAAAAAGCTTAATCCAAGACGAAGGCAGAATACAGCAGACATGATCATGGAGAAGCTGGAATTGACATTAATAGGAGCCAGTAGTACGGGAAATAAAGGAGGGGGGGAATCATCCACCTAAAACTGGTCTACAAAATCTTTGAATGAAATAACTTCTTAAATTACTACGAATGGACCTAAACTAGCAATTAAAAAAATCCAGTTCAAATACCTACCAGAAAACTTAAGCAAACAATAACATTGAAAAATGTTTTCTCCAGAAAACATATTCTAGAAAAAGTTTTCCGCCGAAAAAAACGTAGCATAAACCATTACAGGGTAAGGATGATCACAAATCAACAGAGACTATTTTCTTAAAGTGGTCCACAGATAAATATCAGAATTTCAAAGGGCAGTTATGCTTGAAGAATCAAAACTCAGTTTGAGCACCTGGTGTCGGAATTACAATAAGGTTGAAGGTGTGGACAAGAAACTTTTGGTCCTAGAAACATATCATTAAGACAGATGTGAATGGAGATTTAAGGATCAGATAGATCTATGTTACATGGGCTCTTAGTAAGCATCTGGTGCAGGTATGTTTCTAAGCATCAGTATCAACAAATTCCCAAGTCCAAGGACACACAACCTCATTTAAATATTCATTTTTCTTAATGCTTTCCTAGGGGTAAAATGGTGATTTTATGCAACAAAAAAAATTTAAGCAAGTGCACTACTCATTTTGAAGAAATCATGTTGCCAAAGTAACATAATAAGATGGCATTTGTACAATTATATAGTAAGTTTAAAATACAACATATGATTTCTCAATGCATGTCCAACTAGACATGTTGGACACATATCCCATATCCTTACCAAGTGAAGGGTGCCCAATAAGGGAGGTTGATTGATTCCTAATTACTGTGTTTTTCTTGATGCATTATACCTTTTTGGGTTCTCTAATTTTCTTGGATCAAAGAAATGTTTTAAATATAATTCTCGTATAAGCAAAAAAAAACTGAGACTTACAGGAAAAGCAAGTTGCAATCGAGATTTGCGCAGTTGCGGTGCCTCAGTTCAGAAAGTTCTGAACCACAAATGTAGCATCTAGCAAGTGAACTATTTTCCGAAAGCTCTTGTGTGCAGTTTGCTTCAGTCATAATTTCTGGCTTGTAGGCAGAAGGAGGTAGAGAAAGTCGGGAGTCAAACACAAAGAGATTCCCCACCCACTCTATGGGACCTTCATTCTCAAGATAATGAGAAACACCTCCCTTCAAGGTGTACAAGTTTTTGAAGCCCCTTTGTCTGCCATGTATATGAGAACACTCGTCAATAGAATCAAATAATTTAGCCGCAGAAAGAGATGAAAAAGAAAACTAAAGTTAAACACATGCACGCACAAGCACCAAAAAAATACCAACCAACCAAACCAAGCCTTAAGTCCCATCAAATGGGGTTGGCTACATGAATCTTTCTTCTCCACGCGGCCCTATCAAAGGCCATTTCATTAGTCAAATTAAGTAGATTCATATCTCTATTTAAAACGCTAGTCAACGTTAATCTAGGCCTACCCCGTCCCCTAACACTTCCATCTACCGTTACAGCATCGCATCTCTTCACTACTGCCTCTGTTGGTCTCCGTTGAATATGACCAAACCATCTCAAACGATTCTCTCTCAACTTATCTTCTATCGGTGCTACTCCTATCCATTCCCGAATACACTCATTCCTCATCCTGTCTTGTCTAGTCTTACCACACATCCACCTTACCATCCTCATCTCAACCACACTCATCTTATCTACATATTGTTTCTTGATTGCCCAACACTTCGTCCCATACAACATAGCTGGTCTAATCACTGTTCTATAAAACTTACCTTTTAGTCTAGTGGGTATTCGTTTATCGCACAATACCCCAGACGCACTTCTCCACTTACACCATCCCGCCTTAATCCTATGGGCCACATCTGCATCAATTTCTCCCGCTGTTGTGATAATCGACCCTAAATAACGAAAATGTTCACTCTTAGGCAATTCTTGGTTCTCAATCTTCACTTCTCCTCTGCTTTCATTGTTACTGTTACTAAATTTACACTCCATGTATTCTGTCTTAATTCTGCTTATCCGGAATCCTTTGGATTCAAGAGTTTTTCTCCAAATCTCTAACTTTGTGTTAACTCCTTCTCTAGTCTCATCCACTAGCACAATATCGTCTGCAAAAAGCATGCACCATGGCATGTCATCCTGAATATTTATCGTCAACTCGTCCATAACTAAAGCAAAAAGATAAGGATTTAAGGTAGATCCTTGGTGTAACCCTATAATGATAGGAAATTCATTTGTCTCTCCAACTGGCAATCTAATAGTGGTCACCACCCCTTCATACATAATCCTTTAGATTCAAGAGCTTTTCTCCAAATCTCTAACTTTGTCTTAACTCCTTCTCTGGTCTCATCCACTAGCACAATATCGTCTGCAAAAAGCATGCACCATGGCACGTCATCCTGAATATTTATCGTCAACTCGTCCACAACTAAAGCAAAAAGATAAGGACCTAAGGTAGATCCTTGGTGTAACCCTACAGTGATAGAAAATTCATTTGTCTCTCCAGCTGGCGATCTAATAGTGGTCACCACCCCTTCATACATGTTCCTAATCACATCAATGTAATCTTTTGTCACCCCTTTCTTCTCTAACACCCACCATATTATATCTCGGAGCACTCTGTCATATGCTTTCTCAAGGTCGATAAACACTATATGAATGTCTCTTTTATTTTCTTTATACTTTTCTATTACTCTCCTCAAAAGATAGATCGCTTCCATTGTTGACCTACCAGGCATAAACCCAAATTGATTCTCCGACACCTCTGTTATATCTCGCAATCGGCGTTCTATCACCCTCTCCCACACTTTCATTATATGACACATTAACTTGATTCCTCTATAGTTGTTACAATTCTGAACATCACCTTTATTCTTATAGATTGGCACTAAAATACTCTTCCTCCACTCATCTGGCATGTTCCTAGTCAACAAAATTTTGCTAAACAACCTAGTCAACCAACCAACTCCCTTTTTACCCAAACACTTCCAAGCTTCAATAGGGATATCATCGGGTCCTAAAATAAAATAAATAAAATAAAATAAAAAAGTACTAAAAATTTGATCTCATGTGGTATAAGTGGCCCATTGATTTGATGAGTAGTAGACAATTAAGGACCCATTTGGTAACCTTTTTGTTTTTGGTTTTCTAAAGGCGTTCCGAGTCTGTTTTGTAATCAAATTTTCTGGAACACATTGTAATGGTGATCCATGAGTCAAGTTTTGTGCTAAATTACTTACTGTAGAAAAAATGTATATTGCAAAATAACAGATGTAGTCATAAACAGAACAAAAGCCAAGTCAGAATTTATACCCAACAATAATTTTAACACATGCCAAAAATGTCAAAACTAGTATGAGCAACATAGTAATAAAACTCAACTCTGGAAACAAACAACTACTTTTAAAGAAAACTAGGACACAAAAATGGAAAATTAGTAACTAAAACAACATTATTGGAGGACATGATAACAATGCCTTAGTTGGCTGCTTTAGTTGTCTCTATAGAGATTGAGGTTATCAGAAAACATCTGCTCTTTTGAGGCAATCTAGAAAAGCAAAGCCAATGCCATGAGACATGTATTAGTCTGTGCAGTACTGATGCTTGGGTACTCGCACAACTCTTGTGCTCCTCTTTATTAGCTTAGAAAACCATCATGGTAAACATTTTTTTTCTCCCATATTTGATAGTTCTTAATCTGTACCGAAATTTTTAAAAGACTTCCAAGCATATCAAGGCAAAGCCAGATATTACATGGTTTATGAGTTTTCAAGAGTGGTAACTGATCAAAACAAAACAAACAAATAAGTTTTAAAGCATCCTCACTAGCCAATACTCATATAATATTTAAAAAATCATTTTAATGATTCCAACACTAAAGCAGAAATTGCAGAACAAAATATCTGGGTCTTGAAGATGACAGATAGTTGCTCATTGACAGCATTGTTATTTGCTTATTGCATCAGCTTGCTTGAGTGCTTCCACATTTAAACTTGTCTATTTCAACCAAAGCAGCCCAGTTGGAGATGGTCCAGGTCAATCTACAAGTTCCCTTTTTCATAACGCGAAAGATAAATGAAAGTAAAACAAAAAGTACAGATGGGGATACCTTAGGATCGTAGAATATATGTCGCAACGGATACCTCCTGTACAGTACATAAATATATCTGTTTTCTCTTCATCAACACAGGCTAAAAGATCTGAACCGTTGACCTAGATTATTGAAGCATAGACAAAATGGATTCAGTTCACATAGATTCCTAGAAAGAAGATTTTTTGCATAACTCTAAATAATGGTAGCAAAATTCAACGTACACCATATTGTAGTCACAATGAAGCAAAGAGAATAAATTGTACCACAACAATAACATGTAGGCTCACCATTGGCTACAAGGAAACAAAAAATCCCAAGCATGTAAGAGCTACTGCAGTGAGGACTGAGAGTTTCTTACTAATTCTGGTGAGGAAAATACTTGAAATTGAAAGAGACAAGAAACAATGCCTCTTTTCTTCATTGAGAAAGAAAGAGAGAGAGAGAAGTAAAAATCCCAACCATGTAACAGCTACTGCAGAGAGGACTGACAGTTTCATATTAATTCTGGTGAGGAAAAATTAGAAAAAGACATGAAGTAATGCCATCTTTCTTCATTGAGAAAAAGAAGTCATCATGTTACTCCAGCCAGAAGATTATATTTAAAACCTCATGCTTATCTGTACCCAAAAGATTTAAAAGAGATCATGTATTGTAATGTAAAACTAACTGTACAAAATTTATTTAAAAAAAAAACAAAAAAAAAGCAACAAAACTGGAGAAAAGCATTCCTGACGAAGAACAGAGATGAGATGACAGTTTCTTCGAAAACGGGATAAGGTAATGGAAGCTAAAGCAAAACAGTATTTTTACTGGATGAAAATGGAATATTGCATAAGTTGTAGGCATTGTCTCTATCGAGTGAAACTTCAATTAACAGATTTGGTTTTGTCTATCAAATTCTATGCTGAGAAAACTAAACCAATATCTTAAATAAGAAATAATATCAGAGAACATGAGAAGGATGAAGAATATTTCAGAGAGAGGGACACATTTGTTCAGTTGGAAGTTGAAATTTAAATTCAAAATGAAGATGGTCCAGCTGGCCCGATCCAGACCTAAAAGTAAGGGAGGAAGTTACAAGTTACAACCTAATCCGCTATTTTCTCTCCTTAACCGCCAGACAGTTATTCAAGTGAGGATGAATTTGAGCTTTAACACTGGACAACACTAGCAAAATCTAAGGCTCCCAGGTGATTTTTATTAGTTACTAGTGCTTGGAATTCAAGTAAGTGAAAATAAATGATAAAGAAATTAATATCACAATATGTGTGTTGCTCAAGTGATAAGAGTTTTCTTTTCTACATTCAAGGTCAAGGTTTCGAGTCTTGTGCGCTTTTCTATATAATTTTTTTTGTTTCAAATAGAGAAATGAGGGACACATGGCATAAGGAGAAGCAAGCAAAAGCTTGGACACCAAATCTATCTATCACTTAAATATAGAGTAATCCTACATTTAACGAATTTGTGCTCGCCCGAATTGCCCAAATTTGTGCATGCTTGTTGACACACCGGTCATCCAGGAGGTTGTCCCGCCGGTCATCTGGGAGTATGCTGGTCATCCGAGTGGATGTCGGTTGGCATGCCGGTTGACAAAGGTGACAGCCACGGTTGTCAAGGGTACAACCGCAATTGACGAGGGTGACGCCGGTCATCCAGGCGGTGACGCCGGTCATCCAGGCGGTTAGCCGGGAGGTTATCCGGGAGGTCGTACAACTTGCGTAATTCGGGCAATTCGGACAAGCCCAAATTCGGTGGATCAATAATTTTTCCTTAATATAATAGTATAGGTAGTATAGATGATATAGATTTCAATTTGTACCGCTTCCCATATTAGTGGGACAGCTCCTAATTGGGAAGAGACACGTGAAGAGGTTTAAAAGCCTCTCAAGAATGGGTGGTTACCCCAAGTAGTGAGTGATTGTTCATGGAGAAAAACCACCAAAAAACATGGGAAGTGGGCCTGCTAGTGACGAGAAAGCGTGCGACACTTTTCCTCATTCTATTGGAGGGACAGACACATTCAATTCTTCAAACTGCCAGGACATCCGTAGGCTTTTTAGGAACATGGGCACAATTATGAGGCAGTGGATGGTTGTTTATGGAGGTAAACCACCAGAAAGTGCAGATCTTGGGTTTGATAGTGGCAAGAAGCATGGGACACTTGGCTTCGTTCTATTTGAAGGACAAATACATATTCAGGTCTAGAAACCGGCAGCACAAATAGAAGTTTTGAAGGCATGCCCAGCACCACAATCAACAAATTTATCTTTCAATTCTAGTTTATCCATCTCCCATTGCCTTTATCCTTAGCTTACCTTCATTAGCTTAGTTTTCTGTAGTTTACAAGTAGTTTCAACACATTTCAGACCTGTAATCTTACTATTTCTGCAATGGTAATGTTTACACATTTCAGCAGTGGTAATGTTTACTTCAATTGTTTCGTCTATCCTTCTCCATCACCTAAGTCCTCTTTGTTGAGGCAAAACAGAATATGTGGTTGTCCGTTCAACCATGCACAGTCCATTTGATTAGAAATAAATGCATCCACTTGGACCAAACTTGTCCTTGGATGCTCACGCACCAATCATCATCACATGCTTTGATTGTTTTGTCTTTTTTTTTAGGAAAACAATTTTTGACATGGCCAATGGGACTCTCAGGACGTGCATTTGCTTGTTATGCCGAGTTCTTCATCATGTTAGTTTCTCAATATGGATTGGATGTTTTAATTTGGCATTGTAATGAAGAAATATATAGGCAAGATTTACAAGCTTGACGACAAAATTTATTGTCTTAACAGTAAGGGGTGCCAACTAGTGGAGGTTCTCCATAGCCTTTCATGGAGGAGTTTAGTTGGTGCCACAAAAAAAAAAAAAAAAAAAAAAAAAAAAAAAAAAAAAAAAAAAGAAGAAGAAGAAGAAGAAGGAATTCATTTGACTGATGCAATTTTTAATGAAGTTGGTCGCTTGGACATGGAAATCAAGCAGCTCCATTGTGACATGTACTGTCTCAAGGAAGGCATGCTATATAGAATATCAAGCCTAACATATTCAATCATGGAAGGGGGACAAAAGACATTTTCAGAATTTGAAAGTGACAGGCCTAGTGTACCACTTATCCAACATATAGGGGGGCAAGATGGAGACTTCATTCCAACACAAGGGTGGCAGGTTCTTTACCCTGAAATCAACTCCAAGATCAGGCCTGAGCTCAACTCTGAATTAGCCCTGAGGTCAGCTCTAAATCGAGCCTGAAATCAAAGCTGAGATTGAAGATGAAATTGAAGCTGAGATTGAACTTGATATCCACTCTGAAATTGAACATTACTTCACTCTCGAATCTAGCCTGAGATTGAGTCCAATATCAAATCTAAATTCGACTCTGAAATAGAGCTTGAGATTTGATTCCGTGATTGTAGAAATTTAATGTATAAAGAGAAATAGAGAATTGTATTATTGATTGATATTTGTTATTTATTACAAATGGTGAGGGGCTCCTTATATAGGAGATGTAGTGGAGTAAGTGGTAGTAGGTGGTGGTAGGTGTAGTAGGTGAAGTGGGTGGAGTAGGTGTAGTGGTAGGTTTTGGTACATTTTAACAGTGATCAAGTTTGAATTCGACTCTGAAATCAAGCCTGAAGTCAACTCTGATATTAAACTTGAGATTGACCCTAAGATTGAAGATGAGATCAGGCCTGAGATCGAATCTGCGATTGAGGTAAGCTGAAATATAGGCCTGTAAAATGGCCAAGACATCCAACAAATTTTCTTTCAACAATTAATGATTTCATACGTCATAAATTCATAATCAATGCTTTACTATTATTTTTAGTTTGTTAGTAATGGTTATAGACTTGTAATGTTGTATTTGTGTTGCAAATTTGCAAGTTAAATATGTTAAATAAATAAATAATAATATTAAAAAATTAAAAATAAAATCAACCATTTATTTTATTAAACAAACTAAAATTATATGACTCATAACTTGAAGTTCCACAAGTAACTCAACATACAAGTTACAAACTACATTAAAAAAAATAATATGTTCAATCTTCAACGCTGAGTAAATAAATAAAAAAGAGAAGCTGAAAGGGGAAAAAATAAGCCAAAATTCTAATGCAATAGACACCAACTGCCACCATTATGTAACGACACCTGTAAAATTCAATCCCACCACTATAGTGGCTGAAATGAGTACAGACACTAACTTGTCTCGCATCCCTCCAGTAAAAGTATTCATTCCTAAAGTTCAATTCCATGGACAATAATTTGATACCTGCCGTGAATTGAGCATACCTCTAACTGGGATAGTCCAAATGAAGTGCTCCTAAAGCAGTCCACATTAGGTCGCTGAGCCCCATGAAAATGACCAACATCCCATTCATAACCTGATTACAAGCAATTATATAAAACTTCAAACTACAATAACTGAACAAATGAGCTTGAAATGCTATGAAATTTTCAACAATAAGAAATAACAGATATCCAAAGATGTTTTATAGGGAGATGTTAAGTTATGAATCATGAGGGTATTTTACAAAGAAGCATGAGGTAAGTTAAGGCACTTCCAATTAAAGCATTTTACAAAGAAGCATGAGGCAAGTACCATTTCTCATATCCAATAGAATGCTCATATTAGGATTCCCCGTTGAAGCATCATCACTTTTATTTGTTGCTTCCAATCTACTCCTCCATTGAGATGGTGTGAGAGGTATAGCTCGCATCGATGGGTCAAGCAAAGGAAGATGTGAAATGCCTCCTTCCAACTACTAACAAAAGAAGTATTTCTGTTACAGATGAAATTTAAAGGGATGGAAGAGAAATTAAAAAATGAATGGAAATGTAGTAATATGTTGGTAGTTTGGAATAAGATAGTCTCTTAACATGGATTAACAAAAGCCAATGATAGCTATAAATATATATATGTGTGTGTGTGTGTGAGTGTGTGTGTGTGTGTGTGTGTGTGTGTGTGTCATAACATGGCAAAATTTCCAACTGCCCCCATTACCAAGGCACCAAGAGAAAAATACTTCCCAAAAGATCTTCTGATGAAGAACAGTGAGGGAGAACAAGAGAGAGATAGGGGGAGAGAAACATGCAAGGGCCACAACCCTAATCACACGAAGGCCACAGACTTAAACAAATCTCAATTTCATTAATTCAAGCCTGCCTAATACAATGCCTAAAATAGGATACTAGAAACCCTAATAAAATAGGAAACCAATAATAAAAAACTACATATTAAATACAAAAGGACATTAATTAATAAAATTGTAAATTAAGCCTCCACATGGTGGAAAGTTATTATGTGCAAGCAATATATTGGGCATCTGCATTTCACATCATTCACCCAAACTGAGAAAAAGAACCCAACCTTGAGTTACCTTTCAAATATTCAACTCTCCAGCCAAACTTGGATTAGAAATGCAATTAAAATCTTGAACACCACATGATATCAAAATCCTTCTAACCTGATTAAACAAGGGCTGGTGGTGAGATCTGACAATTTGAGTGCGTTTTTATGATAAGCTTTTCCATTGGTAAAACCATTTTATGCATCACCATGTGGGATTTTCTTGCCCTTCGGTTACTAGGACTTCAATACCTTCTAAATTTTCTTTCAAATTAACATCGCCTCGTCGTGCTTTAGGACCTATTGATCATCATTTACTATTTGACCTTCACAATCTTTATGTGGAGTACCTGAATTACCTCCTAATCCTAAAACAGAGGCTAACGCTTTGTCCAAAGCAGATTCCATCTGTGTCGATTGTTCTGACATCCAGTGATATAAAGTCTTCAATTCTTCTTGTAATTTCTTCAACTCTCGTTGGTCTTGAGATAAGGCATCAAATTTTGAATTTAACTCATAATTAGTCTCCATGATTAATGGAGAAGAGGTTTTTCTTTTTTCTTTTTTTTTTTTGGTTTCTTTGAACTTTGTTTGTGGGTTTCAAATCTTTTGGATTGAGTTGTGTCCCATTCAGAACAGGGTATGTACGCAGGCTGATTTTAGTAGGCCTTTTTTTCTTGTGGAAATGGTTGTGTTGTGGCTTAATTTTGGGTCGGGCAGCTTAGCTTGCTCGAAAATTGGGCTAAATGTCAAAAATTATGCTAAATATTGGACCTCTACATTCCACATCATCTTCTCTCTTTCTGATTCTTAGAAGCGATTCATTCCTCATATTGATATTGGAGGCCAGCGTAAGGGAGACAAGGAATCTCTAGATCATTTATTTTTACATTGTCCATTTGATTCATCTTTTATGGTCCTGACTTTTTCGAATGCTAGAGACTTGTTGGGAAACCCCGACTTCTCATTCCCAGTTGCTTTTGATTGATTTTTGGGGTTTTGGGTTCAATGCAAAAGCAAAAGCCTTGTGGAACTGTATATGTTTCACAATTTTTTGGGTTTTTTGGTTGGAGTGTAATACTAGGATTTTTTGAAGATGTTGAGTCTTTAAAGTTTGTTACTTGTCATCTTATTGGATTTCAGTTTCCCCTCAAGGGACCCACTTTTTTTATTTTCTAGAGATATGGGGACAATGTGTGATTTGTTGTGAGTTTTTTTTCTCAACTTTTGTTTCTTGGAGGACTGCTTGTTCTCCTTCTCTCTTGCACTTCTTTTATTAACAATCAAAAAATATTGGCAACCATGAAAATCCTTTGTGATTTCATAAGGCCCTAGATTTTATAATTTACTAACATTTGACATTGGTGCTTTTAGAAGTCTACTATTACCAACTTGGCAATTTGGGGTTGTTTTGATCTCTCCACTTTAATTTGTCTAATAGGCCCACCTTTTGTTCTCTTTCTACTGGAATTGATCTATAAAAGAAGACCTTAGATTTTTAGTATAAATTGTGAATGCAGATTAACAATGTGTGAATCAATAGAATTGTGTACACAATTTTAAATAAAAATTGTTTCTAGGGTCTCAACACAGATGCTGCTTCTTTTGACAATAGCTATTAAATCCTCCACAATAATTAAGCAGAAGCCAAAGAAGGGTGAATACCAACAAAAGGAAAGTGATCAAAGAAACAAGGAGAGATAGTACAGAATTCTTGGCCCAAAGGTTGTTATTTAAGTGAATGAAGAAATGGTTTAACAACATAGTCATATTTGTCCTGACTTTGAAAAGAATTGTATTTTTTATTACTTTTAGTTTAGGGCAATTTTAGTCAATAGAGTTATCTATGATTCTGTTCTCTTTTATTTAGTGTAACACCAACATTGTACGATGTAGGATTTGAATGGTTAATGCAATAATATTCTATTTTTCTCTCCGAAATCACACTATTATCACAATAATCATTGAAAAACAAACAAATTAAGGTACCCTCTCATTTTCCATTTGCCAGTGAGTGAACTTTTATGGGAATAGAAACTAGATAGAGCAGGAGATAAGGGCAATATTCACCTAGAAATAGAAATTATGTATGAACTAAGGCTTCATTTGGATTGATGGATTTCAAAATAAGGAATTTGAGGTTGAAATTCATAAACGATAGGAGATTAAGCTATTATAAGTGGATGGAGAAACTGAAGGGGAAGATAAATTAGTGATAGAAAATAAGTATTTTTAATATTCTTGTAGAATTAGAACCCATAGCATGAATGACTTCGAAAAACTATAAATCCATCATGAGTTCATGACAAAGCTCTCAAATTCAATCTTGAAATTCATATCAAAACTACCAAATCCTTTCATTTCAAATCCATAATCCTAATACAACCTAATAGATTAGCTTGGAGCATTTCACAAAAGAATCTTTCATCCTTGGGCTGCAAGTGCCCAGTGCAACCAATAAAAGAGGCTAAGTTGTCAAAGCGCTGTCCTTGCTCTCAACTTAGCCAATGGCTACCACCAGAAGTGAACTAAGTTAGTCACAGGGAAACTTCCTCTTGAGGAGCTTCGGTAGGGGTTATACTCTTCCTTTTTTAAAAAGTTTCTGAGTTGTAGGGGCCATGTCACATAATCTCTCTTCCCTTCTTTTGGGCTTCTCTACACATACATATAGCTTATTTCCTGCATGAGTAACTCTGACATTGAGAGCAATTCTAGACAGATCCAAGAATGGGTTTCTGGCTCAGAACAGAACCTGGTTCACCTCTCTAATTATGTAAGTGTCTTGTTTCCTGCTCTTCTAGTAAAGAAAGGTGATCCTCCACCCAATAGAGCCTAGCCCGAGACATCGAGTTCTCTAGTGTGGACCGAAATGGTCTTGCAAAGCCGGTCCTGGATGGTGTAAGTCCTTCTCTAACTTGAAGAGTAACTTATGAAAATACAAGTCTTTCAAATATTCAACATTTATATATATATTACTTATTTATTAGAGCTATCTTGCGACATATTGACTAAAGAAATACAGATTAAAAAATTTGTAGTTCTCACAAACCAGTAATTACATGGAGAAGCTTATGACTTACAAAAACAGGTTCCAGGAATTCAGATTAGATTGTTAAGGAAAACTTAACGAAGACCAAAATCAACAAAATAAATAGAATTAAGATAAACAGAGAAAACAGAGCATCTTGTTGCTTACCTGAACAAGTGAGGGTTTATATCGCAACTTCAGTCTTGGAAATGCATGCCCACTTAAAGCCGGAGAAATTTGAAAAAGTGCATCAGAAAACCTATGGTCTTCTCTTAACCATTTCTCATATGCAAGAGCATCTTTCAATGGCCCACTGTACTGCACAATTAGGAAACAGAACATAAGGTCAGAGATACTGAAATGAAGCATTTTATAACTACAACTAACCTATCCTATAGTTAACTTATTAGCATGATGATACAATAATTTGGCTAGTGGCAGGAACAAAAGCCCTCCCATGTCGTGGGGCAACAGATAATTAACTACAATGTAAGTAGGAGGAAGAGATGGGAAAAGGAGGATTCAAATAAGATAAAGACCAAACTTCTTCTGAAAGACAACCTTCACAATGTTCATATTCCTCTACCCTTTCAAAGTTGATCAGAATATTAATAACAAAACCTTACAAAAAATTTAAAGAGAAGAATAAGAAAATTTTGAAAAAGAAATGAGCATTTCTGAAAACCAGATACTTTGTTAGTCAGATGAGGTGTGGAAATCATCTACAATAATTGCCATTCTCTAGGACATCGTTTTCTAGGTTCTAAAATGATTTTGGAAATCTGCACAAAAAATTTGTCTTCTTTAAGCTTTATTTCCTACATATTGCATCACATACATTTCTCCCTTCCTTGTGCAAATATGTTGACAACACTATGAAACAGGAATGCTTTAGTTTAGCTGTCATAGTCTTGCTAGTATTGACAGCCAGACATAACCACATAAGCATAAAATATACACACACTCAAAAAAAAAAGAGTATTTACAATATTTCCTCTCATACTTTCCTTCATATTCTTGGACAACCCAAGTCAAATTTATTCCTGGAAACAGGTACCAAAGAAAAACTCATCAGACTTAAAAAGTAACAAGTCTACTGACTAGCCAAGACGACCTTTGCACATAGACAAAGCTCTATTTCAACTCAGTGTGAAAGGCCAACTTCTTCAGCACTTGAGGACAATTATTTGATGAAAATACTATTCATGAGATGCACCATAAATTAAGGAAAACTTAAAAAGCATAAATCAATCTCGGAAAGAAATACCTGCGCATTAATCCCTTGCTCATTCAAATATATTCGACCATGTATGTCAAGACCCTAACATTCACCACAAAAATTGAAACATCAGCCGATCAACTGATTCTAGATCACTCGTGTTTCATTATTATGCAGTGCTTCATTTCAACAACAATATGCATATGCATGCTGTAAAGGCATGCCCTATGTTAATATGGATGGCACAAATTATCATTAAACATTTTTGCAACACAAAGAGTTCTTGTTGAACATTAATTTTTCTCGTTTTCTGCTGCAATCTCCAAAACAATCATAAATACCATAAATTTATACAATTTTCCACTCTGTCAAAATCAATTCCATGCATCCATAAACTTTTGTATACTTCAGAGTTCAGAGTTTAGAATTTTCATTTTTATAAGTTACAAATTCTTGAGAAAATGATGAACTTTAGGAAACAGAGGACATTATGTCCTAACGTCAACAAAAGAGAGGCAAACGGAGAGCACACACAATTGCCACTAAAGGTGACGAAAGTGAACTCCAATATAATATTTAATTGCCAAGTAATTGATGAATGTCATAATTATATCAGTTTATATGGGCAAATATGGCATTCCTTTTTATGTTAATTCTTAGAATTTATGCATAAGGTGTTTTAATTTACATTGTAGGAATTAATTAGGCAATTAAAGTGGAGTTCAAAAGGTTTTGAAAAGGCAATGACATCAGTGCTAGAGCTCGATAAAATATAAGGTGTAATGCTCGATAAAATAGAGAACCCAAGTGCTAGAGCTCGGCGGCAACCAGACTGTTAGGCACGCAGTACTCCAAGTTAGACGGAGCAATTATGTAATTGTCCAATGACTATCTAGGTTTAAGAGTTTCTCTTTTATTATAAATACATGAAAAAAAAAAAAAAAAAAAACATTATTGGGAGATCCATCATCATACATTATTTTGAATACATAGAGTTTTCTTTCCTTTTGCTAGGGCCACCTCAACTAATTCTTTGTGAGTATTCCTATGATTCAATAATAATTTTTAATGCTAGATTAACATTATTTTGATTGATTAGTTTGCTTAGTTTATTTCTTTTTAATTGTTTTGTGTAATCCCTTGTTCCCAGGCACTACAGAAGCTTGGAACCTGTGAATCAAATAATGTAAATCTGTGAATCAAATAAGCTTGGAACGTGTGTGATCAATCAATCAAAATGTAAATTTTTCAGATTATTTTTATGAAATAATTGTTTTATCTTCCAATTGGGAATACCTTTGTATGTGTCTCTTAATTGAGTTATACAAATTGAATCTGGAATACTACAAAAGGAGCATTGGTGGGGGTGTGAGCACCACACCCTTTCTCCAAGCACACACTTCCACCATCGGTTTTGACCCATTCTTTTTTGAAATTGAGTATAAATCTGTAAGTTTCTGAATATTTCTGTATATTCGACTGAATAATTGATACAAAAAGTACATCACTTATATAGAACTCTAATCCCTAAGCCTAAAAGGGAAATACGAATCACACATAATATTTACCCAATCACAACCATTCCAAATTTCTAAAATATAATAATTCCTAAAAATATAGACAATATAGGCAAATATATTCTCACACCCCTACTCAAACTCAAGGTGTTTTAGTAGAAAACATTGAGAGTTTGTCAAGAAAAAACCGAAACCAAGCAGTGGTGTGAGTCTTGGTAAAGAAGTTAACAAGTTGTAGAGTCGAAGTGACAAACGGAAGCAAGATAAAGCTAGACTGCAAATGCTGGCGGACGAAATGGCAATCAATCTCGATGTGTTTCGTCCGTTCATGAAAAACAATGTTATGGGCAATCTGAATAGCACTTCAGTTGTCACAATAGAGAAAGGTTAGTGAAGACTAAGGGACGCCCAAGTCAGATAAGAGACTACGAAGCCAGATAATTTCAGCAGTAGCATGAAGCACAGCACGATACTCAGTTTCGGCAGTAGAACGGGCAACAACAGTTTGTTTTTTGCTTTTACAAGCAATTAGGGAATCGCCAATAAACATACAGAAACCAGAGGTGGACTTGCAATCATTAACATCACCAGCCCAATCAACATCAGCATAGGCCACCAAGTCCAAGAAAAAAGTAGAAGATAAGAGCAAGCCTTGAAAGACAGTATTGCGAAGATAGCGAAGAATCAGAATCAAAGCAGCCTAATGTGTAGAGCGAGCAGCATAAATGAATTGACTAACCACATGGACAGCATAGGCAAAATCAGGGCGAGTAACTGTCAGATAGACTAAGCAACCCACAAACTTTCGATATAAAATAGGATCTTGTAAAGGAACACCATCAGTAGTGTTGAGTTTCACATTAAGCTCAATGGGGGTATCAGAAAGCTTAGTGTCAATAAGACCAGCACGATGAATAACCTCGTTGGCATACTTGGCTTGAGACAGAAAGTAGCCCTTGAAAGAAGAAGCTACCTCAATACCAAGAAAATACCGCAATAGGCGCAAATCCTTCATTTTGAAGGTGCGGAAGAGATGCTACTTGACCTTAGAGATAGTAGAAAAGTCAGAACTAGTGATAATCATATCATCCACGTACAGTCAGGGGGCAACAAAACCAGTAGAGGTGTGGAGGAGAAATAAGGCAGAGTCTTAGGCACAAGGATAAAATCGAAGCTCAGTAACAACTATCTAAAAGCGATCATACCAAGCACAAAGAGATTGCTTCAAACCATACAGAGCATGTCGAAGTCAACAAACTTGTCCAGAGGAATGCAGAAAGCTAGGGGAAGGACGCATGTAAACCTCCTCGGTGAGATGGCCATTAAGAAAAGCATTCTTAACATCCATCTGATAAAGAGGACAATGACGAACAGCAATGACAGAGATTAAAGTGCGAACAGTAGTCATCTTGGCAACAGGGGCAAAGCTCTCCTCATAATCAATACCATACTCTTTGATGAAACCTTTAGTAACCAGGCGAGTTTTGTAACGCTCGAGAGAACTATCAGAATGAGTCTTGACTTTATAGACCCATTTGCAACCAACCAAATTCTTACCAGTAGGAACCAACTCCCAAGTAGTAGTTTTATGCAATGCAGACAACTCATCCTCCATAGCTCGAATCCAATTAGGATCTTGACAAGCCTCCTTGTAAGACTGGAGTTCTGAAAAAGGGTGAATAACAAACAAAAAAGTGCAATATGAAGAAGAAAAACATGTTTTAGCAAAATCAAGTTTGACTACCTGTTTACGGTTACGAAGGGAATACTTACGATGGGCAAGATCAAAGTCGTCAAAGGTAGAGGGATCAACAGTAGGGGGGAAAGCCTTACGACGAGAATAAACTAACAACAGAGGAGACAAAGGAGCAGGAGGGGGTGCAGGAGAAGAAGAGGGAATAGATTCATGGGGTTCAATAGGAAGGGACTCAATATGAGGGGTGGTAGGACAAGAAGAAAGAATAAGCTTAAGGGAAATGATAGAGATGTACTCCTTATGAGGGACCTCAAAGGGAAATCGATCAATGCGAACCAAATCCTCTTTGGAAACCGGAGCAATGATAGGAAGAAGATGAAAGTAAGACAGACGTTCAAGAAAGGCAACATGGTGGGAGACGCAAAAGCGACAAGAAACAGGATCGTAACAGCGATAGCCTTTCTGAGTAAGACTGTAACCCAAAAAGACACACAGGACAGACCGAGCACTAAGTTTGGTCCTATCTTTTTAGGAAAAAAGTACAAAACAAACAAACCCAAAAACACGAAGGAGGAAATAATTTGAAAGTTGAGAAAACAAAACCTCATAAGGGGACCGACCAAAGACAAGTGGAGTAAGCATATAGTTTAGAAGAAAAGCAATAGTAAGAACTACTTCACCCCAAAACGGAACAGGAACAGAGGCAAAGAGAATAAGAGACATAGTAGTTTCAAGGAAATAACGGTGTTTACGCTCAGCTCGACCATCTTGAGCGGGGGTTTGGCAGGAGCCAAGAAGATAGATGGAGACAAAGTTTAACTAGCCGTCTTAAGACCGGGTTCTTCGAAAAGAAGTTCACGAACAATAGCATCCACATAGGGAAGAGAAGACCGGTGAACGATGCTATCACGAATAGCTTCATACTAAGGGGAGAGAGCCGTTAAAAATTGCACCAAACGACCCTCTTTCCCAAACTGCAGATAGGCATCTAGAACCTTAAGACTAGACACTTCCATGAGAGCAAGCTGATCCCAAAATCCCGTCATCTCAATGTAGAAATCTTGAATAGACCGATCTCGCTGACGAACACTCTGAGTTGTTGTTTCCAACAGCTACCGTTTGGCAAAGTTGGACTGCTGATAAACCCCCTATAAATAGTCCCAAACCTGCTTAGCAGTAGTATATTTGGAGAACATCATCCCAATACGATCATCCACAGCATTATGAAACTAAGTCAGAACTTGGGCATTATCACAATCCCAATGTCACAGGCAGCTTGATGTCCATCCTTTTTTGGATCCGATGGACGAGAAATAGAACCACAAACATATCTTCATTTTTTTCGACTAAGCAAAAAAAATTTCATAATACTGGACCAATAAGCATAATTGGCTCCAGTAAGTCTACAAGTTATAGATTGAATTTTGTCGTCTGACATGGTGACAATATTATGTAAATAAAAAAAAATTATAAGGGGCCTAAATGAAGAGTATTAGAACCAGTTAGATCAAAATTATAATAACCAGAACCTAGTTAGGTCAAAATTATAATAACCAGAGTTTTAACCCAATCACCCACAAATATCAATAAGAGAGAGAACCAAGTCAAAGGAGAGAGAGAGAGAGAATCTGAAGCCAAGATAAAATGGAGAGAGAGAGATCGCGAACCAAGATGTCGCGATGTTGAACCAGAGGGAGAGCAGGCTTGCACAGAGGAGAACGACCCTTGCGAGAGAGTGAAAGATGGAGATGAACCAGAGCAGACGGTCGCAACTTCAGACCAGAGATCAGAAGGATGTCGCGACTTCGAAAAACCACAGAAAAGGCCTTCGCGACACAGAGAGGACTTCGAACAACGAGTTTGAATGAAGAGAAATAAGGTCGAACAATGGAGATCAGACATAGGGTTTCAAATATAGCTCTGATACCAAGTAAGTTTTTGAATATTTCTGTATATTCGACTGAATAATTGATACAAAGAGTACATCACTTATATAGAACTCTAATCCCTAAGCCTAAAAAGGAAATATGAATTACACTGAATATTTACACAGTCACAACCATTACAAATTCCTAAAATACAATAATTCCTAAAAATATAGACAATATAGGCAAATATATTCTCACAAAATCATAAATGTCTAAAATGGCAATTTATCTTTTTTTTCTATGAGTCATTGGACTCCATATTTACCAAAGGACATATTGAGGGACTGTGAAATCCAAATGACCAAATCTCTATAGCCCAAAATTGCCAAAATAGATCGATTCACAAAAAGGAGCCGGCCCCTAATCTTTATGGGAACTATCAAACCTAACTCTATGTTAATCTAGGCCTCCGACTCGTTGTCACAAAAAAAACTCGACTCGAGAGCTTAACGCTATGTTTGGTTGGGGAATTTAGGAAGGAATTTTGAAAGGGAAAGACAAAAGGAAAAGATAGGTAAAATATAAATAAAATATATCTGCATTTCACGTAATTTCATATCCATTTTCTCTTTCATTTTCTAAATCTCTTCCCAAATTCCCTACCTAAACACAGCATAAGTAAAAAAGGGTAAGATCATTGATTGAGCACCCCTCTAACTAAACACAGCGTAAGTAAAAAATGATAAGATCATTAATTGAGCACCTCTCTGGGCCGATTTTATTCACCTAATGCCTTTTGACTAAAACTACCAACTACGTGATTCACCACTAAATTATGATTAGATGTATCAACACAGGTACCACCTAGAATTAGTAAATCCTAAGAAGAGGATAATTGACTTAAATATGTACATTGCAATAATTATGCACATTCAGAGAAAGTTTTGACCAACAAAATTTAAAAAATAATAATAATAAACAAGTAAAAATTCGGAGAGCGAATGGGAGTGATAGAATGGAGAACCTGCAAGAAGGAGAGGTGTCTGGAGACCTCGTCTTCTGGGTCTTTGATGAAAACGAAATGGTAGAAATTGACGACAATGAAGTCATGGTCCTCATAATGTTCCCCCCAATTGCATTTCAAAGGAAGCAATTCAGAGCCACGACGACCACCTCCACCTCCACCGTTACAACCACATGTCAGACGTTTACAATCCTGTTCCCGAGATGATAAAGGAAAAAGCGGGGACCGTGGAACCCAAGCAGTGTTCTTGATAATAGTAGTAGCACTAGTAGGATAGGAAGTTGAGAATGGCAACCACAAATTAGTAGTGGTACTGGTAGGCTTTGAAGAACAAGGACACAACAGCGTGTGCATTGCTTTCCCGGAAACAAAAGCCCAGTTCTTCGCCATATGTTTCCACGACCGACCTACTCTCTCTCTATCTCTATCTCTATCTCTATCTCTATCAATTTTGCAGCACTCCTTTTACTAATTTCTTATCCTCCTCCGGCTCTCCCACTCTTCTTCCCTTTTCTTCTTTCTGCTCCCACCCACCCCACCCTCATAATTTTATGGGAAATTAAACTGACACGGTATGTTTAATTTTAGAGGCTTTTCCAAACTAAGCTCTTTTTGTATGGTATTTTTCAAATTAGGTCACCATTTGACGGATTTTTCAAACTAAGTTAAAGTGTTATTACAAATTGTGTTTTTACTATTAGGATGTCAAAATTTGATGAATAGTGAAATCGCTATTTAAAATCGCGATTTTAATTAAGAGAGTTCCCTTTTCTTCTTTCTACTCCCACCCACCCTACCCTCATAATTTTATGGGTAAATTAAACTGACACGGTTTATGTTTAATTTTATCGGAAAATACATTGATTTCTTTGTTAATTTAATTTTATATATGACGATCATTACGGTAAGAGAAATTATTATGAAACTTTAAACTTCAATAATAATCTATAATAAAACTTTAAACTTCAATGATGTAATTTTTAAAATGTGATGGAAAAATTATAATAAATACAAACTTCAGACGTGTCAATGTAATTTATCCTTATTTTATTTTATTTTATTTTTCTACTATAATTTTATTTTATTCATAGCTGTTGTGAGGACGTTTGGTGTAGCTAGATTATAGGTTATAGATTATAGATAGAATCAGAAGCTGTTAACTTATTTGGTATAATTTTTAGATTATAAATTTAAGTTATTGAGTAGTGTTTGTTTAATAAACTGTAAAATAATTTTTTATTATGTAATGTCCTTTTTACCCTTATTAGATATAAAAATTGTTAACCTATTTCATTTTCTTCATTTTTTTTTTATTACATGCCAATAAATATAAAAATTGTGATCTATTTTTTCATTATGCACCATACCAATTAATTAAAAAATGTGATTATTTTTTTCATTATAATACAAATTATAATATAAAATTTTTAAATTTTTAAAATTTATTATTAATCCATTACAATTAATATTAATTAATAATATAAAAATTGTTAATTTTTTTAATTTATTATTAATCCATTACAATTAACATTAATTAATAATGTTAAAATTATTAATTCATTAGAATTAATATTAATTAAAATATAAAAATTGTTAACTTTTTTTAATTTAATAATTCATTACAAATACCAAACCCTACCGCCGGCAGCCCTAGCCACTGCCGCCCACGCCCTTCTTCTTCTCCTTATCCCACACTCCAACAGCCCTCTGCAAAACCGAAGTGAACACTGAGAGAGTTAGGATTGATCTCAAAGAGAGAGAGAGAGAAGCTTGTCGTTGATTGCGATTGTGAAGATAGAGAGACGGCGTTGATCGCGATCGCGACGTCGAAGAAGATGAGAAGAAGGGTTTCAGATCGCGACGCCGAAGATGAGGAGAAAAAGGGTTTCTTTGTCACGCCGTCGATCGCTATGTCGTTCATCATCACTCGCGATGGTTTCAAATCACAGTGGGTTTCACAGCACAGCCAGAGAACAACGTTTGAGAGAGAGAGAGATAGAAAGAGAGAGAGAGAGATCTGGTTCATAACGCCAGAAATCGCCTACGTCACCGAAAATCGCCTGTGTCACCGAAAATTGCCACTCACTCACTCTCTCTCTCTGAGAATGAACAGTGATTTTGTGGTTTATATAGTGCAACTTGGTAATATTTCAAATTATTGAAGGGCATTTAAGTAATTTCGACACCTCTCCGCATAATTCAGTTGCAAAAACTGCTCCAAGTCGCTTCTGATTTTCGACTTTTTTATGTAAGAAAAAAATCTATAAAAGCTTAAGTGGTTGGCCTTAAGCTTAACCAAACACTTTGTAGCAGCTTTTTAGAAACCATAAGCTATAATCTGTTCAAATTAAGCTAGACCAAACACCCCTTATCTCTACTCTTTAACCTCTCTAACAGTAACTTTTTTTTCTACTATAATTTTTTTTCTTTCCTGTCCCACTATAATTGAAACAGAAAAAAAAAAATATAATTATTAATATTTATCACTTTTTTTTTGTAAATAAAATTCTTGATTTCCTCTTATTATTGATTTATTTTTTTTTATTATTATACACTAAAAGAGTAGAAAGATAAAAAACAATTGACGAGGGTAAATTACATTTACTTCTCTTGAAGTTTGTCTTAATTACATATACTTCTTCTATGATTTCAAAAATGACACAGACCTCATTTACTTTAGAAACTAATATACAAAGACCCCTTTCTATTACCCATATGTCCAAAATCAAATAAATTTTACTAATGTCATCCATAATTATTCTACAAATTCCAATACTACCTTTCAGCATAAATTACACTTACCTCCCATGCATATATATAAACACATAATAAAAAATTTAACAGTACGCATCACAAAGAAGATAACTTAATTTGTCTTGGGATTCTCATTGCTTCATTTGTTCCGTTCTTCCAAACATTAATGACATTTTTTTCCCCAGGAAACAAACAAAAACAAGATCTCATTATCATTTCGGAGCGAGCCTTTCCGTTGGCGGAGGTCCAAACACAATCATTTCGGATCTCATTATCAGTGCCATCTTGATGTTCGAATTGGTTAGCCAACAACGGTGGGGGATCAGAAGAAGGAGACTCGCTCTCTTTCTCTTTCTCTCTATATATATATATGCTTTTTCTCTCTCCTGCTCCGGCTCCGTTGTTGGTTCAGGCATGTGTAATTTCGAGGAGGACGAAAAAGATTGGAGGAGATAAGTGTTGGAACAATCTTCTGTGTAAATAAAATAAACTGAAATAATACGAACAAAATAAAATAACACTTACAGAAATTATTTTGTTGAACCAAACAAAAATTAAAAGACCAAGTCGAGTGTGTGACACTCTATCCTTAAGACAGATTCGCCCCGCTATGGTACTTACGGTTGAGTGGCGTCTATCTCCCAGGATACAATGATCTTCACAAATTGTAGTAGTACTCCAAACAATTTGTTTGGCGAACCAAACCTGTGTTCTAACTCTCTGAAATTTATACTAAAACTAATATGAAGAATAATGAAAAAAAAAAAAATTCAGAATTTAGGACAGCAGACAGACCACAATCAGACTGAATTATTCATCCTTAAGACTGCTGAATATGGTTCTATATATAGGCAAAAACGGAGGTCTGAACAGGTTGCAATTTGAAAGAAGAGATGCAAGAGTTGAAATTCAAATAATCTGACCGTTTGAACAGCAACGGTTTTATACTTCCAGACAATTTTGAAAAGATTTATCTCAGAATGGCATCACGGCGATTTCGATTTTGATTTCGAAGCTCTCTCTGTCTCTCGATTTCAAAGGTCTCTCTCTCGATTTCAAAGGTCTCTCTTTTGATTTGGTTGTTGATTTTTGTTTGTGCAGATCAAGGCATTGCATATGCGGAGATCAAGGCATTGAGAGAAAGCAGAAAGGTTTGAATCTACCCTTCTCTCTCTATATATATATGATTGTCGTAAATCTGATTCAGTGATTCTGTTTTGTTTGTGTTGGTTCAGTGATTATATATATATATACTAGTGGGTGGCATGTGTGTGCAATTTAAATAAGTAGGAATAAAAAAAAATAATAATGAAATTAATATTATAATGTGTACTTAGCTTAAGTGGACTTAAACCCATGGTCATGGGTTCAAGCCTTGCCCATCTCTTTGTTTAACTTTTTTTTAAAAAATAAAAAATACTGCCACATGGCATGAGGAGAGTAAAGGAGGTTCAGGACACCATAAGAGGTGTTCACTTTATAATAGTATAGATAGATAGATATATCAATATTGTCCGATAGTTTATGGATTATGGTGTGTGGGCAACATCATAATTTGGGTACAATTTTCATTTTTTTATTAAACAAATAAATTTAAAGGGCGAGTTTTTTTTGTAAATATTCTATACAAATTTTTTTTTTTTTGAGAATTGACCAACTTTTCAAATTATTTTGGAAACTAACCTGCTTTTAAAATCGCATTTTGAAAATACAATTTTAAATTGAAATTACATTTTCAACATTACCTTGCAAAATCGCACATTAAAAATGCAATTTATGATGACATAGATTTCACTAAGACATTTGCATTTTTAACATGCGATGTCAATGTGAAATAGCATGTTGAAAATGTAATTTCAATTTCAAAATCCCATTTTAAAAATGCGATTTCAAAAATTAAGTTAGTTTCTAAAATAGTTTGAAAAATGAGTAAATCCACTAAATTGTTTCCTAAATTGGGTGGAGATATTTTGGTCATTTAATTATGATATGACATCATAAATAAATATTAACTAAAAAAAGGTAAAAACAGTTTTTTACTAACTTCCCAAATCACTTTCTAAAAAAATCAAAAGCTTAGTTAAAACATCTTCTCAAAACACTCGAAACTCAAAATTCTATTAAAAATTTATAATCAAACTCTTTTTAAAATTTAATTTAAAAAAATAATTTGTTATTTTGATTAAAAAAATAGTTTGTATATCTAAAAACTATCAAAAATAATTTGTATACTTAAAAAAGAAGTTATATATTAAAAATAATCTGTTAGTGGATTTAATTTTAAAACTTTTGTCCAAAATAATAATTTCGTTCAAGACGGAATGATAATTAAAAAAAATTCGACAATAATACGTACCGAGAATGATGATGACGTGCAAATAAAATTACCGTGAGCAAGGTTCCTCTAGAGTTTTTTTTCTCTAAAGTTTTCTAGAGTGGTGCATTGTGTGGTTGGGATTTAATGACAAGTCACATTAATTTTTCAGCATTAAATCTCAACCACACAATACACCACTTTAGAAAACTTTAGGAAAAAAATACTCTAGAGGATCCTTGGTGAATTACCGTAACCCAACCTATATGCAAAACAAAACAACCTCTTATTTATAATTCTTATAAAATCTTATTAAAAATAAATTTTGATAATATTATGGTTAACAATAATTTTTTATTTATATCACTAAAAATTAATAATTAATAATTTTTTTTATCATAATTTTTATAAATTATCACTAATAAAATTTATAATTAATAATATTTTATCATGACAAATTTTCTTCATGCAACTTATTAAATATTAAATCCACCTGTTACGACCTATCCTATTTATCCCGACTTTATCTTTTTCGTTTGCGGCTGTATATATGGAATTGGGGGGCGCGTAGACTTTCTCACATCACAGCAGAGCATAGCAAAATGCAGTTTTGTGCATCCCCGACGCGTCCTGTGTTTTCGAGTTTTTGTTTTGGATCCTTGGAATCGCAAGCAGCCAGGGAGGGAGTTACGTTCTGCTTTCTGGACATTTCTCAGGCGTCACGGGACTCTGTTTACGTTGGTGGTGGTGGTGGTGGTTCCAAGTTGTTGGCAAAGCTTTTTGGCCTCTCATCGAAATATGGGCGTACAAGTCCAACAACAGTAACAAGGGGAAAGGCAGAGGCAGGGACTGATGAGAGTGATGGTGGTGATGAGATCAGGGTATGCGTGAACAGGACTTGCAGGAGGCAAGGTTCAATGCAAACCCTTGAGATTCTCTCAGGCATTGCGCCTCCTAATGTCTCCGTCAAGTCTTGCGGTTGTCTGGGTCGTTGCGGCGCTGGCCCCAACCTCGTGGTTCTCCCTCAACCCACCTTCTTCGCTCACTGCGGGACTCCCGCTCGAGCTGCCCATACCATGTTCATTCTGTTTGGTGGCCATCCCGATTCCTGGACTAACAGCTTGGCAGCCCTTGCATTCAGGAAGAGAGCCGAGGATGAGTTTCCAAGTAATAATAATGCCTCCCACGCTGAACTTTTACTCTCCCAGGTAATTAAGTACAAAACTAAACGTAAATGTCTTCAAATAGAAATAGGAAGATTGGTTCTTGACACGTTACTCAGTCTAATTCATCTTTTGAACTGAATAGCAATACTTATAAAAATAACATGCAACAGAAATGCTTTAAGCTGTTCCCACATATTTTTGAATTAATACATTATCAATAGGACTAATTTGAAACCCAACTCAGAATTTTAAAGGTCAAATTTGTAACTTCAAGTATCAAATTTATACCGGGAAAGTTTAGGGATCACCAATGTATTTTTCCCTATGTTTTTATTGGTTTTTGTAACTGTATGTATTAATTTGATTTAGTTTGGTAACTATATTTAAGTTCTTGCAGTTTCACTGACTCCAGTAGATGAATGGGTTGTGAAAGGCCACTGATGATTCCATTTCTCTTATTGGCATAGGCTATAAACCTTAAACCGGCTGGAGGTATCCATGGGCTGTATAAAGACAGGTTTGTAGAATTTAGCCATATATCCCATCATCACTTTGTTATCAAAAGAACTATATCCTATCATCATTCATGGACAGCTGAGACTGTTTGCTGTTTTTTATAAAAACCGATTTTGCATATGCATTAAACTACACTGTTTCTGTCAGCAGCATGCTTGTGTTTGCCTTGTCTGCGTGTTTTTTTCTCTTTGGTTTTCTTTTTTGGTTATTGGTTTCTGTTTTTTAATCATTGAATTGAATTAAAGCTTGGAATCCATAGTTATCTCAACATCTTATGAAGTTGAAGTTGTACTTGGCTATTGGTTTGGTAGTGCTAGTGTCTTGAATTTGACTGCCTTTAACTTTTTTGGAGTTTTTAATGATTGATATCTTTGATGTGATACAGTCTTTCTCACTGCAAGATAGAACACTCCTTTCTTTGTGGACTAACAGGGGTCTGTATTTATGAAACTGTATTTCTTACAGATCTGCTGCGAGATTGGTATTGGGAAATATATCTGAAGCTCTTGAAGATGCTAAAGAAGCTTTAACTCTTGCTCCTAAATATCCCGAGGTGAGCTGAATTGTTATTATTTACTTCAAAGTCATCAAATTCTCTAGGCCTGACAACTGACAATCTTGAATGAAAGAAGTATTCTTTTAGTTATCTTGCATAAATAATCTTAAAGTGCAATTTTTTAGGATTTTTGCAATTTAAGATTAAAGTGTTGCTATCAGTCTGATGTAAGTGTCCTGATTTTTTTGTTTTATATGCATGCCTGTGAGTGTATGTGTGTGATTAAGTTGCGGACTGCTGTAAATTGGGACTGTCTGCCTACATAGGAGTGTTTCTCTGTTTTTGTGATGCAACGAACTGTTCGTGCAAAGTTCATATTGACGTGTAATCATATGTTTTCACAGTATATGTTGAGAAGATGTATGCCACTTTGCAGGCTTACATCTGCCAAGGTGATGCTTTGATGGCTCTGGACCAATTTGATGCAGCTGAGAAGTCCTATGCAATGGCTGTAGATTTAGATCCTTCCATTTATCGTTCCAAAAAATTCAAGGTATCATTCATTCATAATGTTCTTCTGTGATGGGTAAATTTTGATTGCATACCCGAGCAAGTTATGATTCTTTTTTCTACTGGACCTTAGATAGAAGTAGGAATGGGGCAATCGCCATTAATGACCTAACATGTGATGTATTGTCATGTGCATAGCATGTGTTAGATAGTGTATCCTATAAATAGAGGAGTACCACATCTCTTGTAACTAACTTGGATATATTGAATTTGAATTGAATTGAGAATTTCTCTCTCTAATATCTCTCTCTAAGTTCCTCTCTTGCTAGTTCTTGATTGACCCATCATATTTTGGTATCAGAGCTCTAGGTTTATTGTTCCTAATTCATGTTCTAAATGCATGAATTGTGAGACAGATACGTACCTGAAATTTGAAACCCTAATTACGAATCACAATCACGATCACAGTTGTGTGAGAAGCCATCATGAAGCAGTAGTGGAAATCTCGTCGAACTCAAGACATAGAATCAAAGCTTGCGGTTTGCAAATATGTCTCAAATCGTGAAGGTGTTCTCAACTCGCAATCGCGAAAGTATTCTTGATTCGAATTTGCGAGTTGAATCGCAACTTGGGGTTGAATTGATTTCGCGAGTTGTCTTTCGTGATTTCTGGAAGCTCGATTGAAGATTTTCAATTCTTTCGTGATCAAGATTCGACTTGCGATTCTTCGAAGTTGGGCTTCTCACAGTCGAATTCAGAGCCAAGATTTGAACTTGAGTCCAAGTCTTGCCGATTTCAATTCGTCATCGTCACAAAGCAAAGTTACTGTTCACATTGCGATTTCAGAATCATAGAACACATCGATTCAAAGTTTGTTGGATTTTTGCAATTGCAACCTGGTTCATTTGATTTGAGATCACGACTTCTGACCCTTGAATTCATCTGCGACTCGCGTCATACCAGCTTCGAATCTGGGTTTTGTTCTCTTGCAATGAAATCATACCTAGGTTGTTCTTTGAAGTTGTTCTGGACTCGATTGACTGATATCAACATGTGGGTAAGTGATTCTTAAAGTCTTTTATCCATCTGTGTTGAATTTCCTGTGTTATATCAAGTCTCGAATTCTTTAAATCTATGTGTATCAATATGAGTTCAATTATTGTCTTCAACATTTTGGGTCTTGCCTCTATTGTGACATTATCTGTTCACAGTGCTGAGATTGTATATTGGTGCACTGTGTTATCAATATTCAACTGGGTGAGATTATTGTGTCTCTGCATATTCTTGGGAATTGTTCAATGGCTCAACGAGGTTGAGGTCGTAGGGGTGGTCGTGGTAGGGCTTATATCCCGGATTTGGGTGATCATGATGGGGGTAATGGGATTCCGTATCCAAGAGATGAGACGGCAAATTGCCACGATCGAGACGGTGTAACGTCTCCTACCTCCTACCGAGGGTAGTGATGGTTCTGATGATACCGAAGGTGGTACTCGTCATTCTTTTGATAATATCTATTGGGCCCCATGATGGCATCGAACGGATGTAGGTAGGATGGAACACTAATGGGAGAACAATATCAAAATTGAACTCCCTGAATTTCATGGAAGCCTCAATCCCGATGAGTTCATCGATTGGCTCAACACCATTGAGTGGATCTTTGACTATGGAAAGGTCTTCGATGAAAAGAAAGTTAAGCTTGTGGCTATTTGGTTGAAGGGGAGAGCTTCCGCTTTGTGGGAACAACTTCAACTAAACCCTTGCCGATTTGGTAAGGAGAAAATCCATGATTGGGAGAAAATGAAAAAGAAGTTGAAACCATTCAACTACCTCCAAAGTGTTTCCGCAGCTTATAATCGGGCCTTCGCCATGGAGAAGCAACAAAGCCGTCGTGGTTCCCAAATGGGACAATACTCCCAAGGAGGGTTCCGAGGTGGTTTTAGACCGGGTCCTTCCACTCCTAGCTTTGCCAAAGCTAATCCTCTTTCCAAGTTTGTGGATAAGGGTGCTTCCTCCTCTCAAGCTCCTCGTTCTAATAGTGCTTCTGGAAACCAAAATCCACCATAAGGTGGAACATTCAAATGCTTTAGGTGTGGTGAACTAGGGCACAAATCTTCCAATTGCCGCAAAAACATGGGTAATAACCGGAATAAGGCCTTTCTCATTAAAGAAGTTGAGGAGCATAGTGACTTTGAAGATGCTTTAATCTTTGATCCTTCGGGTAATGTGGCAATTGGTAGAGATAGTGATGAAGAAGAGGGTCTTGCTCTTATGTTGAAAAAGACTCTTTTTTCACAAAAACTAGAGAGCCAAGAAAATTGATTTCGTACCAATGTCTTTTATTCCACTTGCAACATTGGTGGCCGTATTTGTAACATGATCATTGATAGTGGAAGTTGTGAAAACATAGTTTCTCAAGAAGTGGTGGACAAACTCAATCTTCCGGTGGAGGAACATCTACATCCTTATTCTCTATCTTGGTTCAAGAAAGGCAATGAGATCAAGGTTACCAAATGGTGCTTGGTTTCGTTTTCTATCCAGAAAAAATACTCTGATGAGGCATGGTGTGATATAGTGCCTATGGATGCTTGTCACATTCTACTTGGGCGACCTTGGCAAGATGACCGGCAATCTTTGCATGATGGCAAACGGAACACCTACACCGTTGTCAAGGATGATATCCGGTTTACCTTACTTCCAATGAAGGAAAAGGTTGCTTCCAAGGATGTTTCCAAGCCATCTCCTAGTGCTACTACATTGCTTGCTTCCAAGGAGTTCGGGATTTTGGGATTGTATTGGTGTGGGTTCTGGTTGTACACACGGGTGCTTTTCAAGGCAAGGTTGAGGTGGCTACTTTTTTGGAAGAGTATTCCGATGTCTTTCCCCAAGACCTTCCTTCCGATTTGCCTCCTATGCGTGACATTCAACATCATATTGATTTGGTACCCGGATCGGCACTTCCAAACAAACCGGCCTATCGTTTGTCTCCAAAGGAGAAAGAGGAGTTGTAACGGCAAGTGGAAGAGCTTTTCGCTAAAGGGTATATCCGGCCTAGCCTTAGTCCTTGTAGTGTTCCGGCGCTTTTGACACCTAAGAAGGATGGCTCTTGGCGTATGTGTGTGGATAGCCATGCAATCAACAAGATTACAATCAAGTACTGCTTTCCAATTCCAAGATTGGATGATATGTTGGATTGCCTTGCCGGATCAAAGGTGTTTTCTAAGATTGATCTTAGAAGCGGGTATCATCAAATCCGCATCAAGCCCGGTGATGAGTGGAAAACGGCCTTTAAGACGCCTCATGGCCTATTTGAGTGGCTTGTGATGCCATTTGGACTTACCAATGCTCCAAGTACTTTTATGAGGGTGATGACACAAATGTTGCAACCACTTTTGGGGGTGTGTGTAATGGTCTACTTCGATGATATCTTGATCTATAGTCGAAGTTTGGAAGAGCATTTATGCCACCTTCGACAAGTCTTTGAACTTTTGAGGTGAGACAAGTTCTATGGCAACACTAAGAAGTGCACCTTTGCCGTGGACAAAGTCATCTTCTTGGGTTATGTTGTGTCTTCTCGTGAGGTGCTTATGGATGTGGAGAATGTCAAAGCAATTGTGGAATGGCCCACTCCTTCTAGTATCCAAGAAGTACAGAGTTTTCATGGTTTGGCTACTTTCTATAGGCAATTTATCCGAAACTTTAGTAGCATCGCTGCACCTTTGACCAACATTCTTAAGCTTAAAGCTTTTGAGTGGAGCAAGGAAGCCGCCGATAGCTTCCATCTTTTGAAGAAGTTGCTTACTGAGGCTCCAATTTTGGCATTACCGGATTTTGACAAGACCTTTGAACTTGATTGCGATGCATCGGGTTTGGGTATTGGAGGCATCCTTAGCCAAGAAGGGTGGCCCATTGCTTTCTTTAGTAAAAAGTTGAATGGGGCTAAGCTCAAGTATTCCACTTATGATTTGGAATTTTATGTCATTATCCAAGCCATCAAGCATTGGAGCTACTATCTTACATACAAGGAGTTTGTGCTCAACACTGATCATGAAGCTCTCAAGCACATCAATAGTCAGTCCCATCTTAACAAGTGCCATGCCAAATGGGTGGCCTACTTACAACAATTTGCATTCTCTTTGTGCCACAAATTGGGAGTTCTTAATAAGGTGGCTCGATGGGTTGAGTAGGCGAACGACTCTCTTGATTGAAATGAAAAATTAAGTTGTGGGTTTTGATGAATTTCACACATTCTATGCAAGTGAATTTGGCGGAGTAATAGTGTGAGGGAGAGTGTGTGTGTGTGAAGAGAGAGAGAGAGAGTAAAATGGGGGTGGGACATTTTGGAAAGGATAAGACCCTTGGGTTGCTTCAAGATGCTTATTATTGGCCGGGCATGACCAAGGATGTGCAAAGTCATGTGAAGCGTTGTCAAATTTGTCAAACAAGCAAGGGGACTGCCACTAATGCAGGGCTATATCTACCTTTACTGGTGCCGGATGCTCCTTGGCGGTGCATTAGTATGGACTTTGTGTTGGGCCTCCCTCCTACTCAAAAGGCGGAGTGATTTTATCATGGTAATGGTGGACCGTTTCTCCAAGATGGCACATTTCATACCTTGCAAGAAGACTATGGATGCCACAAACATTGCTAATCTCTTCTTCGAGGAAGTCTACAAGTTGCATGGGGTGCCTACTTCTATTGTGTCTGGTAGATATGCTAAGTTCCTTGCTCACTTTTGAAAAACTTTGTGGCGGAAAATTGGCACAGACTTGAGTTTTAGTACTATATTCTATCCGCAAACCAATGGTCAAATGGAGGTATTGAACCGTAGCCTTGGCAACTTGTTGTGGTGCCTTGTGGGGGATCACCCCAAGAGTTGGGATGATATCCTTCCTTTGGCCGAATTTGCTTACAATTCATCTATCAACTGCACCATAAATACTTCTCCCTTTGAAGTAGTTTATGGAATAAGGTCTTCAAGTGTGGTGGATTTGGTGCCTTTGCCACTCTCAAGGAGAGGAAGCATTAAGGCGGAGGAAATGGCCACATTTATGAAGAGCATTCATTCTCAAGTGAGGGCCCAAATTGAAAAGTCTAATGCGAAGTATAAGGCGGTTGGTGATGTGCATAGGCGAAGAGTGGTGTTTGAAGTAAGGGATCTTGTGTGGGTGGTATTGAGCAAAGAGAGATATCCCCATGGCACCGGTGGTATTGAGCAAAGAGAGATATCCCCATGGCACCTACGCTAAGGGTTGGTTTGGCATAAACTAAATAATACAAAAAGTCAAAAAGTCACTATCTTATTTAAATCACGTCACCTCTCTAACACATCACATCAAACCCAACCCAAACCCAACCCATATAAGCCAATAAGTCAAAAAGTGCACTTTTTTAGAACATCCCAAACCAAACCTAAGTTGACTGACAAGAAGGTGGGACCTTGTGAGGTGTTGCGCAAGATTAACGACAATGCTTATAAAGTCAAGCTACTGCCTCATTTAGGCATATCCAATACCTTTAACGTGTAACACCTTGTACCGTACTTTCCGGATGCCTCTTCCATTGATGATACCTCTACCCTTGTAGGATAGTTCTTTGAAAAGTTGTCATCTTGTACTTTGGGTTTGTGTCTTTCATTTCTAGTATTGGTTGTATTTTATTGTCTTCACTTGAGGACAAGTCTTTTCTTAAGAGGAGGAGTATGATGTAATGTCATGTGCATAGCATGTGTTAGATAGTGTATCCTATCAATAGAGGAGTACCACATCTCTTGTACTGACTTGGATATATTGAATTTGAATTGATTTGAGAATTTCTCTCTCTAATATCTCTCTCTAAGTTCCTCTCTCTGTAGTTCTTGATTGACCCATCAACATGTTTCTCATATAGCGGCTGTTAAGGGCTTAAGGCTGTGCTGCACCATGTAACTCATTTTCTACCTGTGCTATGCACTGGTTGTGTTTGAAATATAATTGTATCCGAAGTGGTTTTTTAGCAGTCGGGCAAACTCTCTCTCTCTCTCTCTCTCTCTCTCACAGTGCTATATAGGCAAAGACTCAAACCAACTGATGCTAGCTGACTGGCAAAGAAAATAGAAGTAAAAGAAATAAGGAGTAGCCTCAATCTCAACTTTATTCTCAATTTTAAGAGTGTCTTCCAATAACAACAGGCCTAATGATCATAGGGTAACTAAAAAAGAAAAAATGGAATCAACAAAGAAAGAAATAATAAATCCCAAAATAACCACAATTACATAATAATTCTTAAATTAAATTGTTCTAAAATCAAGCTTAAATAATCCTAAATAAATTGATTTCGATTCTTCCGGCCCGCATCACATTAGTGCGATGAATGGCATGCCTCATATGATCCCCGTCATTATACTCTAGCTGAGAATAACTCCGAAGAGTGGTGACCATGATACTAAGATATTTGGGGCTGGACGGCGCAACTCCTCATCTGTGATCCAAGTAGTATCAGAAACTAGGCAATCCTTCCAATTGACTAGGTATCTTTGGAAAGCACTGTGGTAAGAACCTACAATCTCATCCTCTATCACATTGATCAATTTTTGGCGACATGCAATGAGGCATTGGGGCAACTGATGTGATAACTCTACGTGTGGGAATACTTGCATGCACTATGTGAGGCTTGACTATACCTCGATAAGGAAACAAGTCATCAATATTGAAAACATGACTAATCCTCATATCAAATGGCAAGTCAAGATTTATACATTAAGTCCAAGCCTATGAATAATGTGATGGGGTCCAATGGTTCAAGTATGCAATTTCTTGAAGTAATGCTTAGGGTAACAATTAAATTATTGATTCCTACAGTGCATATCTGCAACATGTTTGTAATTTTCATTTCTTAGAGCAATTTTTTGCCTAATGTCTTTGTGTAGATCCTGAATGTGCTAGGCAAAAGATTCAGCTGACTCAGAAGGATGAGAATCAGGAGGCAAAGAAATGAGGTCAATAGGATGACGAGGAGACAAACTATGGATTATCTCAGATGGGCTCTTACCTATTGACCTATTGATTATTACCATCTAAAATCTCGTAAAATAAGGCCAAAATCTGGACAAGTAGAACATTCATTCGGTCACATTTTCTAAATTACTTAAAAAAAATAAATCTACACACTTAAATGTTAAATATATCTTATAAATATGAAATATGTAAACCTGACTATTTTTTGAACATTCATTCGGTCACATTTTCCTTCTTTTTTTTAGATATTTATTATTAACCATTCTTTATAAAGAAACTAAACAAAGACAGATTCTCAATTTTCAAATAACAATAACATAACAATGATGTTGATATTTGGACAATAAGTATGCATATCTTTCCAAGTAACAATGATCCAATAATAAGAAAGATTTAATTGGAATCCTTTATTATAAAACCTAAACCACGTTAAAAGGTATGTATGTTTTTTATTCAAAAATGTTATTTTCAACACCAACATGGTGCTCAAGGACAAAAGTACTATTGGAGGAACTCTACCCATCTAGCATGTCAAGCTCTTTTGAGCGTTAACATACGTAAGTGCTTGATGGTTGGAAAATAATACAAATTCTTGAGGTAGAAGATTATACCGCAAATGGTGTAGGGCCCATACAACAATGTAAAATTCCTTATTATCTACTTAGCTTCATTGAGTTTCTTGCTGTAATACACAATTGGATGACCCTCTTGACTCAAGACACCCCCAATTCCCACACCGAAGACATCACAAGCAATCTCAAAAGCTTTAGAAAAAATTGCGTTCTCAAAATTGGTGCTTCATTCATTTTCTTCTTAATCTCAATGAAGGCTCTAAGTGCATTAGTCCATTTGAACTTTCCTTAGCAAATAACAAAATCATAGATTGATTTTTTTCATTTTTCTTTTTTGTGGGAAACTTGTTTTTTTCTTTCTTTGTGTGGACTGCATTTTCCTTTCCCCCCTTCTTATTACTGTCTAAACAGTCAGTAACTTGGAGATTTTATTGACGATAGCAGCCAGTTTAACAACTTCTAACTCATCTTATTTTCAGGCTCGGATTGCAAAGCTTCAAGAGAAACTCATTGCTGCAGATTTGCCTTGAGTTTTGCTGTCTGGCTGAAGTTTTACAATGATGAATTAATTATAATGGAAATGATGGGAGGTGGCTTCTACAGTTTCGGGTTTGAGTTCTCCGTTCTCAATGTATGGGCCGACACATTTTGTATGGGCTGACCATTTTTATGGCAAGTATAGATTTGTATAATCTAGTGAGTTATTAGGTTTGTGTTTGGAGGTTGTGATTTTGGGTGAGCCTAAATCTATTTCTATTTGAAGATTTGAAGAAAGTTGGGTGAAAACCACCAAAGGAGTGATGGTAAAGGTTTTGGGTGCCCCAAATAAAAGCCTGTTTGATTAGAGGAGTACAGGAGGCCAGGAGTGGACATAGGCAAGTAGCCAAATAAATCCTTGTGTTCTATCTTTCACCATTTCATGCACTGTATCATGTATATATAATGAATATATGAGATGAATGTTTTTGTTAATCTTGAGTACGCTAGTAAATGCATATTGACAAGAATTTTAATGTGCTCAAACATGTAATGGTCTGGTTTTTCATTTGCGCTTCCATTCCCTTTTCAGATTTAGCTTTGGCGTTTTATTCTCAGTATGTTGGTTTCCAGTTTTTGTTTGTTAAAACTCTGTTCTTCTACCATTATTTATATTTGATATAATGGTTTACTTGTTCTAAAAACAAAAAACAAATGTAATGGCCTGGGCATAACAATACTTTGCCAAAAGGGGAGATGTTGGTTCAGCCAAGATAGTGATTGTGTCACCTGGGACAGCTCAGGCGATGGATGCTTCACTGGCAGATCTGTGTACTTGCTCCCGAAGCCTTTCCTGCCCTCTCCCCTTGATAATTAGAATTGACTCTGGAAAATCCATGCTAGTCCAAGAATTAGATTCTTTGTTTGGCTAACCCTCCACCAACGACTCAGCACAAAAACCTACCTACACCACAGAAGGGTAGTGGAGGATACCTTAGGTACCTTATGCAAGGCATCTCCAGAGACTCATGTTCATGCAATTAGGGACTGTAGGGTAGCAGTCACCTTTTGGATTAGCATTGGTATCCCAGCAGAAACCTTACAATCTTTCTCCTCTGACCTGGTGGATTGGATTAAGTTGTCAAACCACTCTTGTTTACCCGTCCTCAATTAGGTGGTCCATAATCTTCCCCATTGCTTGTCAGTTTATTTGGAAGAATCAAAACTCTCACTTGTTTGAACCCAACCAGCTAAGCCTCCCTCACTCCTGCTACAGCACTTGCGCATGCTTTGGATTGCCAACACCTTAATGTCATTCACACCAAAAAAGCCCCTGAGAAAGTTACTGTTAAATGGCAAGCCCCAAAGGTAGGATGGTTCAAACTTAGTACTGATGGAGCCTCTAAAGGAAACCCAGGAAAAGCTTCAGCTGGTGGGCTGATTAGGGATCATCTAGGTCAGTGGGTAGTGGGTTTTAGCAGAAATATTGGCACCACTTCTAGCATTGCAGCAGAGTTCTGGGCTTTGCCTTGGATCATAACCTAGTGAAACTTGAGATTGAAACTGATGCCTCCATTGTCAAACAGCTTATCTTGGGTGCAACTCATAACACTTTTCAACTCAACAATTTCATTGTTGACTGGAGGTACCTCATGAACCGCCTCCAAACAGCAACAATTAATCTTATCTATCGGAAAGCAAATGCTTGTGTAGACTTGTTGGCAAATCAAGGAGTCTCAGTTAAAGATTTCCGAGTTTTTATCAATCCTCTCCTTGTGTTTGTAATCAACTATTTGGTGATGTTAGCGGAGTTTGTTACCCCATACTTGTGTAATTTCAAATTTTGTCTATAATATTTCTGCACCACTTTTACCTGCCCACCCCCCCCTCTCCAAAAAAAAAAAGAAAAAAAAAAAAAGGTCAGAGAGCTCGACTTGTATATATAATAATTGTTGAAGTTTAAAGGGCTATAAAATCTAATGGCCTCAGTATAATTGTATTTTGCCAAACAAGTGTTGATAAGACATAACTGATTAAAGTGAATTATTTGCGAATAGAAGTTTATTTTTAAAAATATATTTGTCATTTATTTCTTTAGAGATAAATACGATAATGAATAGGTTAAAATTATCAAATCGATTTAATTTTTTTTATGCATAATATATATTGAGTTTTACAAAATTAATAGTTTAAATTATTAAAAAAGTATAAATGGTGATTCTGTGAGCTCCTCAAGTTCAATCAAATTCAGATTTGAACTCGAGAGAAATCTATTCTCTTTAAAAATAAAATAAAATTAGAATTTGATGTAAAATGTAGCGCTTTAAATTAATTTTAATTTTAATTTATTTTTTTTATTTTTTTTCGTTCAGAAAATTGGGACTTTTCTCAAATTAAGCCAAATTACTAACCTATTTTCCAAACTAAGCCTAATTTGGATGAAATTCCCAAACTAGGCTAAAACGTGATTCACAATCACGCTTTCAACGTTTGTGTGGCTGTTGTGCGGAAAAATTCTAAAATCGTTTTCAAACCACGCTTTTAATTAAGAAAACGTGGTTACAAGTCACGCTTTTAATTAAATTTTATTTTAATAAAAACGTGATTCTAAATCATATTTTTAACAAAAAAAAATTTTCTTTTAAAAATGTGATTATGAACCAAACTCAAAACCACGTTTTTAAGCAAAACTTTTTTCCCAACGTGGTTGGTAACCACGCTTTTAAAACCACAGCCCCGTCATTTGCTATCACGCTTCTTACACTTCGTTTTTTTCGACTTCACTCTTGCTCTCGCTCTTACTGCTCTCTCTCGCTCTCGCTCTCGCTCTCGCTCTGCTCGAGCTCCCTCTGCTCTGAGACTGTCTCTCTGCTCTCACACTCTCTCTCTGCTCCCACTCTCTCTCTCTGTGCTCTCTCTCCGTCTGTGGGTTGCTCTCTCTCGTTGGTATGGCGTCTGTCTCTCTCTCTGTTGATCTACCTTTATGCGTTTATTGTGTTTGTGAAAATGTGAATGTGGGTACAATGTGGGTATAATGTGGGTAGAATAGAGTTCATGAATGTGAAAATGTTGTGAAATCTTAAGGTTTATAATTGTGAAATCAGAATTTACGATTAGGGTTTCAGAAATTAGGGTTTTGAATTGTGAAATCTGTTTAAAAATTTGTGAAATCTGTTTAGAAATGTGAAATTTGTTTATAATTGTGAAATTTGTTTCAGAAAAATTTAAAAATTATGTTTGAAAAAATTAAAATTTTTGATTTATAAAATGACTCATTCTCGATAATTTTTACCCACTTGAACTATCCAATTGACTTATTCCCTATGCGTTTGGATTGTGAAAATTTTGGTTTTGAATTTGTAAAATGTTGTGGTTTTGAATTGTGAAAATTTTCTAGGGGTTTCAATTGAATGTGAAATCATGAATTAGGGTTAGGGTTTTGAATTGTGAAATCAGAAATGAGGGTTATGGTTTCAGAAATTAGGGTTTCAGAAATTTATGATAAGTTAAATTTTTTTGATAATGTTGTATGATTTTTTTTAGGAACAAATTATGTAAAATCGTAGTTCCAAATCGAGCCGAATTGTGTTTAAATGATTTGGGTCAAATTGGTTGAATAATTTTAATAATTTAATTTGATTACAATTTTTTTCAAACCATACACAATTAAACTTAAAAAATGAAAGGCAATTTTGGGCAATTGGACATGATTTTGGCGTTTTGTGTTAGATTCATTAGTTTGGTGTTTTGTGTTAAATTCAAGCAGCTTTCATTCTTTTATAGATGTTATAGAAATGATAAAATTGAAATAAATTAAAAAATTTAAGAAACAAAATAGAATAGATTTTAATGACACATAATTAAGGGGTAAAGTATATGATCTTGTATTACATTGGTATCCTCTCTAACTTTTTCATAGTAAATGATACAAGCTCAAACCATCATTTAGGAGGAATTATCATATCTTTCAAAAATTTTAATTAAATTCTGTGTTTTTTTAATTTTATTAATTGTTTTATAAAATACATAGGAGAAAAAAAAAAGAAATAATACATATGTAACCAATAGAATTGCAACAATATCTTATATAAGATATAGAACGGACCTATGTGATAATTTTTTCTCATTTAAGTTGAACCCGTTTCCATTTTTCTTAAATTTAGGCTATAGTAATTTCTTCCCATTGCACCAAAAAAAAATTAATTGTGAATTACAAATATATTTTATAGGGTTTTGAATTGTGAAATCAGAAATTAGGGTTATGGTTTCAGAAGTTTAGGTTTTGAATTGTGAATCCTGTCTATATTTTTTGCATTGTGAATTGTGAATCTTATCTATATTTTTTGAAATTAGGGTTTTGAATTTTGAATTGTGAATCTTGTCTATATTTTTTGAATTGAAATTTTATTTTTTTGCTTGTTAATCCTGTCGATATGGTTAAATCTTCTTATTCTTTCGCTTATCTCTTCAGCTTCATCATTAGGCCACTATAACTAGTACAAACAATTTTTTTGGGTTGTTTTAGAAAATAAATTAAAAGCTAATTTTTTGTATTTTTTTAAAAAAAACTTTTTTCGGAAAAACGTGTAAAAAAAGTAGAGAAATGATGACCCAAAAAAAATTAGAAGTCAAAAAATGACTTTTAACCTCTTTGCCAAAAGAGGCCTTTCAAGTCTTCCTAAAAAATGCTATTACCAAAACGTTTTATATAAATAAAAAAATTTTGTTTAAAAATTATGTTTGAAAAATTTAAAATTTTTGATTTATAAAATGACTCATTCTCGATAATTTTTACCCACTTGAACTATCCAATTGACCTATTCCCTATGCGTCTGGATTATGTTTATTCAATTAAGTTTTATATTTTTATGATAGTCGGATGTCTGAATCAGTTTACGTATTTCTCGACTAATCTTAGAATCCACACCAAGCGTCCCTTTCACATAGATTCGACAAATCTCAATTAATAACTATAAACATGACACATACTGAGAGTTCAACTTGAGACCTGAAAGGAGCATACTTAATTTTTAACACATAATGAGAGCTTATTAATATTAATGAAACTCAAGTTTGACTCAGTTCGGCTCGATAATTTTTTTTTTATGTTATTTATATTGTTTAAATAAAAATAAAAGAGTCGAGCTTGACGAAACGAGCCGAGCTCTTAACAAGCTCAGTCGAGCTTGTTCATGAAAAGTTCGGCTCATTTGCAGCCCTATTTGAAACGACTCATGATTGGGAATTTGGGAGAAGCATTTCAAATATCACCATACTTTACTAGGAATAATATAAATTTACAACTCATAATTATTAACTTTAAAAGCGTAGTTCACAATAATTACAAGTTAATAATTTTGTCATTAACCTAGGTTATTTCCTAGGTTATTTCCCTAAGTTATTTCCTACGTTATTTCGTATGAGGTTATTTCCAGAAGTGAGGAAATAATCTCATAGGCAAACAACCTAGCAAATAACTTTGTCATTAAGGTCCCTAATGGCACAAGCTTGAGCAAATAAAAGTAACTTCTCTTTAATTGTCCATAAATCTCAAGAATTGGACTACCAGTTTTAAAAAATTACGTAAACAATGTTTGAAATAAAAATTAAGTACAAGTCATACAAAATCAGTTGAGTTGTTTCAACTCAATGAAAAAATAATAATTTTATAGAAAACTTACACTATGATTTAAGATTTTTGTATGACTTGTCCAGTTTTGTCCAATCTCACTGAATAAATACAATACTTGATACAAATTATACTATAAAATTATATGAAGAGAAAAATAAAAGAAGAATCTTTATAATGTCTTCAGATTCAAAATTACTGATATATCTATTTACTTTATTGAAATACTAAAATAATAGATCAAGATTTATCAAAATAAAACAAAATAAGTGTTTTTTAAATTGCTACTACTTGCATGCGTACGATTAAATCATTGTCCAAATTAGGGGCTTTTCCCAAATTAAGGCAAAATAGTAACTTATTTCCCAAAGTAGGCCTAGTTTGGACAGAATTCCCAAACTAAGCTAAAATGCGGATACATAAAAATTTAAAATTAACATATAAATGGAACAACAAAAATATAGTTCAGCAGCCAAAATTTAAACCCAGCACTTTCCGGTATAATTTTCTACTAACTATGTTGCGATTTGCTTGATTTTGTTTCAGATCTATATATTTTGGTTGTTTTTGAGATATAGTTGATTTGTATAGCTGGTTTGCTTTCAGGTCTATACGTTTTTCTATACCTCTGTTATAGATCATTTTCGTTGGCTTTTGGATTTCTTTCAGACGCATCAACAAACAATTGTTGGGGTTTTCATGTAATTGATGTGGATGTGTTAGCAATCTATATAGTTTTTACCCTGTTTTTCTGTAATGTTCTCATATGGTTCAAATTCTAGTTGATTTTTATTGGTTTGGATGTGTTATATGCTTTTTGAGTTTGAGTTTGAGTTTAAATTTTGGCTGCTGAACTATACTTTTGCTGTTCCATTTATATGCTAATTTTAAATTTTTATGTATGTGTTTGATATGAGATAAGATTGCAGCTTTTCATGGTGAATTGGCTGTGGAATATGCATTGTCTTGTGAACTACCCTTTTGGGATTCAAGTTTCTTTGGAATAAAATGGATAATATAATTGTAATCTTAATGCTATTTTTGGCTTTTTGCAATGAGCTCGGAATGGAATGATCTGATATGTAAATGGAATTATCATTTATCATTGTAATGGGATGGTTTTTCCATAAGAAGGCTAAGGATTAGTCGTTCCATTCCATTCCAATTTACTTTCATTTCAGTGAACTAAACATTACCTATGAGATTTTAGAATGAAATAGAAAGTGAGCAACTCTATGTAGGAATCTGTTTTGGTTAATGCTCTGTGTGAAATGTTTTATGCTAAGAAATATGTATAATAATGTCAATTGAAGGTTGTGATATGGGTGTAGGTACAATAATGCTTATAATGGAGAGTTATTGTTCATATTTCAGATAGTTCTGTAGACTGGTATTTACTGGCTGTAGTTACTCATGATGTTAAATAACTACATTGAGAATAATCTTTGGATCTATAATATGAATTTCTCAATCTTTGGATTTGTAAGGTGAATGCTTGCCATTGTGTGTTCACTGGAAATTATGAATTGAAAGTTGAAATTTTAATAATCTGTTGCTTGGTAGGAAGCAAAGTAGAAAAGTTTTAAATTGAGTTTCTATCCAAATCAAAGTGCCCTCTACCACAATTTGAGGTTATTGCATGGTGTTTTTGCATTGGATTTGTACTTAATGTTAAATTATGGTCCCCTTGACTTGCATTAATTGTGGTAAATAGACTGTTCCAAGATTTTGTTGAACACTTTCAATGTTTGTCCTACGAAGTATAACTTGATATTCTTGTTAGACTTTCATTCTTGTTTCTAAAGCTAAAATGATTTTTATTTTACTTATTATACTCATTTTCAAATTTTTGTTTTGTTTTGGGACAATGAGAGAAAGTGGATGTGGATGTATTGGATTGTTTGGATAAGTATCAACAAATTTAACATTTGATGCAATGTCAATTGTATACACATATCATAGTATAGAATGCGCATGCATCTCTAGCTCTCTCGCTCTCTATCTGTTCTTATTTTTATTGTGCTAATGACTGTATGATACATGACATCCTTCCAGCATTAACAAACATCATTCAAATGGAAAGCAAAGGCACTGAAGGCATGAGGAAACGTGTCAAACCAACTGTATGCCTGTTTGTATTCACCCTTCCCTCTTTGAATAAGCGGGGAAATTTAAAGGAGAAGAAGAAGAAGAAAAATTGCTATGTGGTTTTAGTATGCTTTAATTTCTGATCCATTATAGTTATTAGGTGGAAGAGACAGAACCAATGGTGGGAGACAAAGCTGTTGATGAGATTGTCGAAGAAGAAACTGAGATCAATCCTGTGGTATCTGAACAGATGGAGCTTGACATCAGTCACATTCTTGAAAAGATCAATCGCTTTACTCAGCTGGTAGCTATGCTGAATTATCTTCGTCACAAGATAGCATGGGATAATCTCAAACAAGCCTATAAATATGTCGAGTTTGACGTTATACCATGTTTAATGCCTATGATATCTTCTTTTTAGACAGTTGCAACTTCTAGTGCAAGCTCTAGGTGGTTGTCATATTGTTGATTATCAACTCATGTAGGTATCTGAGTTGCTGGAATCGGGGAAGTCACTTCTCAAGGAACTCAGTAATGAATTTGAAGAACGGGTGATTTTGTGAGTTATGAAATGAAATCTAGGATTTAAATCATTAGTGATGAGTTTTTTTTACAGATTTTTAAACTTTTTCTTTGCAGAATACACAAGGAACAGATTGAAAAGTGGCAAGAGGAGATTAAGGAACTGCGCATGCTTGATGCCTCAAATGAGGATGTCAATGCTCTTTTGCACAGTGCTCAATATCTACTTCAGAATGTTCATACTGACTCCTGAAGGTAAACTCCCTGGGTATGACCATTTTTAAAGAAGATGTAAGCACTCATTTAGTGATTATGGTATGGATTCAAGCATTCAGTGATTCTGGTTAACTAGCTGAAGGCATGATTCAAGCACCCTATATCCAAAAACTTCTATTAATTTCGTCCAGATTGCTTCTCCATTGCGGGAGTGTTACTGACCAATTATTAAGTGGTTTTATGATTTGTGCAGCTCAGCATTTTGAAGGACTGTGACATGCATCTTTTCTATAGACACTGCTGCTGTATAGGACAGTATTTTCTCAGCCAGATGGTAGTGTAGATGTTTACATGTTCAAAGCACTTGTTTGGATGGTCTGAAGATGTCATGAGGAAATTGTACATGAGTTTTCTTTTCCTTTTCCTTTTTCTTATTTCAAAACCTGTTGCAAAAAAATGTTCTGAATTGTTTTACTTAATTTTGGATCACTATGGCATCTGTTGATGACCATTATATCCACAATCTACCCTAATCTGGTTCAACCTGTCAGATATTCTTTCTTCTCTTTGGAGACCCATTAAAACATCTGCTTTAATGGACACCATGTGAATTTGTGTGGCTACACTGTTATGTTGTGTTTGGTTGGAAGATTTGAGGAGAGATTTGAAAAGAGAAATAGAAAAGGTAAGTGAAATGTGAATAAAATATATCTATATTTTATTTAGATTCACACACCTTTTTTCTTTTCTTTTTTAAATTTCTCATCAAATTCCTCCACCAAACACCAAACACGACGGAAGGCTATTTGTTTTTAATCATTTGGATCATCTCGAAGAAATCAGAGGCATGAAGAAAATGGACTGCATATTACATTCTTAGCATAGCAATGCATACATTTCCTTATAGTTGATATCCTAGAACATTACAAATTGAAGGGAAAAAGCGAGTCAAATTTGAATGAAATAAAATTGGTCTTGCCTTTTTTTTTTTTTTTTTCCTTTTTAAATTGATATCTAAATCTATGAGTCAAACATAACATTATGATAGAATATTTTTTCTTCTCATCTTGTAGTTCTGTTGCTCATTAACTACTCATTTTTTAATGTTTGAGACAACTGGTACACCATTGTACATTGATGCCATATGACAAAAGTTTTGAAGACAATTCACTTTAATCATACGTGGTTCAAAGTTGGAGTACTTTATTTTCTTTTGTTCAAATATAGGTAGAGAGTTCTTATATGACTTTGAACTAAAATGTAAGGTTAACTTATTAATAGTAAATATAAAATTATCTTAAAAGGCCTCTACTCTAGGTTATCTTTTTTGCGTTTTAGCTACACATTTTTTTATTTAACCCATATTAATTTACTAAATAACATATGGGTGATTCTATTTACATACCATTAATATTTTCAATATACACTATTAATAGATTAAATTTATATTTTAATAATATCCTTCAATGAAATGACCATTAAGGACAACATGAAGTGTATTTTACCCATTCAAAAATTTCATATTTAAAAATACAAAATATTCTTCACATACCATCATTCTTATAGGGTTTAAGGTTTTAATATATAAACATTATATTTCTTTATCATCTTCACCATTTACATACATTTATGATATCATTCATTATCAATTATCTAATTTCATTTCTCCATTATATTTATTTATTAAACTCAAAACATTATTGTCTTTGAAGATTTAGGATTTAAAAATATTGAAATCAATTAGTCTAGAAGATTTGCACACCATGGATGACACTGAGATGGTTTGTTTCGATATAAACATTGAAAACAATGATTTGAACATTGAAAAGATTAGTTTATGACTTAGTTTTTTGATCTTTTATTTATCTAGTTCATATGTTGAGAAGATGAGTTTGTTCATCGTATTTGGATAACCAGAGTTGAATTTTTACATAATGTTTGATTATTTATATTTAAACAAAATAATTTTGTTCAAATTATTAAGATTGACTAAATATTGAATGTTCATATATAAAAAATTGAACCTTTTAAGTTAGTTCGGTGAAAATAAATTAAACTTTTATTCATTATTCAAATATAAAAATTTTGAACACATTAAGTTTGTTCAACTCTGTATTTATGAACATGACCAATTTGATGAATTTGAAATGATGATGAGAGACGAAAATTCAAGATCGACAATAAAGATCAACACCGTCAAAGATGAAGGCCGAATAAAACAATCCTCTGATGATCTGAAATGACGAGACGACGAGATGAAACACCACGAGAGTTCAACACCAATTACGGAGATCAACACCGACGAAGATGGAGGCCAAATGAAACCTCCGACGGCAATGGAGATCAAGACCGACAAAAATGGCCTCTAGTGGTCTCTATTCTGAAGATTATGGGGTTTTGTTGTGTGTAGTGGTGAAGATGAATAGTTTTTAGTGTGTGGAATGGTGTGTATTCAAGTAGTTAGTGGTGTGTTAATATAAGGTTAGTAATGGAAAGTTAAGATGTGAACTTAGATATTTGTAAACCCTAAAAATTATTTTATGTGTAAGTAATGGTGTGTACTGAAAGTATTAGTAGTGTGTAAATAGAACTGCCCCAAGAAGATAGGGGTGTGCACACATTTTTTATTGAATGGGTACATTTGGAATGTGAGGTGTGTAGATGTGCACACATTTTTTATTGAATGGGTACATTTGGAATGTGAGGTGTGTAGACTTAGATAAATACCTAAAAATCAAATTACTAAGTAAGTGGAGCGAGAAATGATGTGCACAGAGACAATGCGGTGTGTAAAAATAGAATTTTCCATAACATATATTTATCAAAAAAAAAAAAATACTAAATAACATATTAGCCCAGATATCATAATATTATAACCAAAATACCTTGTTTTCTAATGGCATCTACAATTATATGCACATATAATAAATAGTTGCAGATATATTGCAAATCTCAAGATTTGAATAGAGAAATAGAAATGTGAATTTGAAAACTAGCAGAATGTGAATCTCAAGATTTGGGAGATAAGAATAGAACTCAATTTGATGGGACCTTTGAATCAATATATTGGAGCTGTGAACTCAACTAATATTTTGTAGAAGACTGAAAGAAAAGCATCATCACATTACTGATTATCTTTCCTAATTGCTTGTTAGCATTGGTGTTTTTGTTTCCCCCCTTTCTTTTGTCACCACTTCCTATGTGGCGCACTAAGAAGCAAACAACAATGGCTAGATCAAGTACGGATGCAGAGTATAGGACTATGACTCATGGTCTTGTAAGATTACGTGGCTCCAGTTCTTTTCTTAGTGAGATATACAAGGGGTTTGTGGCAGTGTGCTCCACAAGGTTGTATTGTGGCAACTTCTAATATGATGGAATTAGTGAGATTGGCATGCACTTCGGAGAAGTTGAACAAAAGATTGATTTGTATGCATTTTATGAAATCAAAAAACTAATTAGTGTGTTTGGTTTCTGTTTTTTGAATTTAGTTTTTTAAAAATTGAGTTTTTTGTTTTTCGTATTTTTTTATTTTTAGTGGATATTTTTTAAATTTTAAGCATTTTTTTTACTTTTTTAGATGTATCTAAGTAATAAAATATTTTCAAAAAATATTTTAAAAAATTAATAAATACACAAAAATACAAAAAATATATTGATTTTTTTTTTGTTGTATTTTTTGGTATTTAGTTTATTTTTTAAAAAAGTTCACAAATATTATACTTTTTAAATGTATTTATATTAGATTTGTCTAAAAATTAAAAAAAAAATTACTTAAAATATTAAAAAAATTCATTGAAAACATTAAAATAAGGAAAATAAAAAAGTAAAAAAGTAAATTTTTTTAAAAACTATTTTCTGAAAAACAGAACCAAACAATTTTCACTAAAAGATGTTAGTAGTGTATTTTTCACCCTATTATTTTTGCAAGTTGAATATGATAGATATATTTGTATCAACTTGAAGGGAATGTTAGATGTCATGTGTTTAGTAGTCGAAGGGGGTAATTGTGTATTTTAGACTACTTTAATTCTGTTTCTCTCTTTTTTCTTCTTCATAGAGTATCGATTTTAACTAAAATATGGTGTAATAGGTAAGTACGTAAGGGTGTATTTGGATTGAAAATTTAAAAAAGAATTCAGAAAGATGAAGAAAAAATAAATAAAATAGAAGAAAAAAAATTTACCTATAAATCCCATTTTGAGAAATGATAATCCATTTAGTTCCAAAGATTTTTTTATAGACCAATTAGTCCCATTGATTTTTGAAAGGTGGATTTAATATATTATTCAGAAATTAAATTTACAGTTATACCCTTATTATGTTTTCTTCTATTTTTTTTTTCTTTTATGTTAGAAAGGTAAAGTACACAGTTTGTGAGAATCAAATTTGAGATGAATTTTTATATGAGAATCTTTTTTGATTTATAAAACATTTCAAACGGAGTACAAAAATGATTTGAAATATGAGATCCTTCAAACATTCCAAAAGGATGTGGGATTTTTCAAACATTTCAAAAGCAGTACAAAAATCTCTTAGTAAACTTTAGGCAAATGTATAATTTCAAATTGTAACACTCCCATATAACACTCAAACGTAACACTCTAACGTAACATTCAAAAAAAAAAAATAAAATCTTAGTGTACTTTTTCCAAACGTAAAACTCTAATATAACACTCCAAAAAAATTCTTAATATAACATTCCAATGTAATACAAAAAAACTCTTTAGTGTACTTTTTCAAAATGTAATTGTTAACTTATTTTTCCTACGAAGGAAAACATCATAAATGCGAGCGTGTCAGCAAAGGTTGAAAAACCCTTACAGATTAAATTCAAGCCAATTATCAAGCGATTGCATTGACGGTTCTTTTGCCTCAACAAAGAGGACTTCAAAATTGCCAAGTGTAGAGAACAGAAAAATTAAAAGAAGAATGAGGTACAGAGAAAGACGATGAGTGAACAATCAAAGTAATAATTACTTACCTCTACTCCTATGCTTTGAAAATGAAGTGTATAAAATGCTTTGAAGAAAATGTTGAAAACAAATGCTTCGAAATATAAATCTATGTTAAACTACTCCTAAAATAAGAAAAATGACAAGAAATATTGAAATCAATTGTCTTTGATTTAAGTTCTGGATCTTTTACAATGTAGCCATGAATGGCTATTTATAGGCAAACATTTGTAGGAAAAACTACCTAAAACTACCCACTCTTCCACCTCATTCATTTCATACTACATGATCTTCTATAACTTCCTTCAACCTCTACTTCATGCTCCATGTTCTGCATAGCTTTTCTGGCGGCTCTGGGCAGTGCGAATTCTTTGTTGGATGAGTTGAATTTTATCACTCGTTACTTGCACGATCTCGGGGCCTAATAATTTTCTGTCTCCGACTCCTGGCCAACACAGAGGTGATCGACATCTTCTTCCATATAGTGCCTCGTACGGTGCCATTCCAATACTTGCATGGTAGCTATTATTATATGCGAACTCCACTAAAGGTAGGTGATCATCCTAGTTACCTTTGAGGTCTAGTACGCACAAACGTAACATATCTTCCAAAGTCTGGATCGTCATTTCAGATTGC